TAGCGAGGAACGCATTTCGCTCTTCGAGCTCTGCGATTCGATCAGTTTCGGACGCTGGCCTGGATTCTAATCTGTCCTCTAACTCCTTGATCCGCATAGCTTGCCGAGCGCGAAAGGCTTTTTGCGATAGGCGATTGCGAAGCTTCCTGTCTTCAGTGCTCATCCGGGCTGAGCGGCCTCCACGGCCCCCCTTGGACGGAGCAGAACCATCCTTCATGCCGTCACAGTGATTGTTGATCTGTGATCAGGCTGGTGATGACATAGAGAAATCTGAGTAAGAGTGAAGTGTGAGGGTAGGGCTAGGATGAAGGGACATTCATGGTTCTCGGCCTCGAATTTCCTCTTACGCCACGCCAACTGCGGGGCTGGCTGCTAAAGAGATCATGAATGCGCCTAACAGAAGGATCGCAGGAACGTTTTCCACGGCGAGAGGACCAAAACCTTGTTGAGACAGCCGAACTGGAGAGCCAATGTCCTGGAATAGATGGGCAACACAACCCCAGATTTCCCGGACCCCGCGAGCCGCCACCGGTTTAAATCGATTAAACCTCGCTTTGGGATTCGCTCGCTGAGTTTCTAGATGGCCCCCGTGGCCAAATCCAGATGGAAAACTTAGCAAATCCGGGGAAAAGGCGTTATGTTGCTGGATTCCTAGTGGGCGCATTGCAGAACCGCGGATAACCAGGAAGGTTTGGGTTGAAGGGCTGATGAAGGAGAAGGTCAGTATAACCGAGGGTAGCTCCTTTGTTCCATCGAATTCTCGTCAGCAGACACACTCCACGATACAGGCCACAATGATATCGAGTCGTTTGAGGCGAAACGTGCAAAAGTCTAAAATGTGAGAGATGCTGTCGTCAGTCTGGACGAGTCAGAAAGATTTGATTCAGACCGCCTTGCGGGGTAGACCAATCAACTGTTCCTGGGGTTGCAAGACATCGTCCTTTTGTTGGCTAAACTGGTGTATGCGACAAGACGAAAGCCCCTTTGGCCGTCTCAATGACTGAGCAAAGCATTACTCAGGTACTACTGTGTGGTGCCAGTTGAGGGACTCGCTGGTCCTGGCATGGCAAAATATCATGGAGCAGGTTGGTCTTGAATATGAGACGCACAACCGTTTTCTCCGTCCAGGGTACGAAGACCTAGGTGAAGATGAATGTCTCACGCCCATCAGAAACGCACACCCACACAAATGGTGTAACAAATGACTCTAATAGCGGTGCTTCTAATGGCGTTGCCACTAGTACGACAAGTGTTCCCACTCCGGGCTTGAGATATGGCATGTTTTCCAACTGGAAAACTCACTCGTCGAAGAAGGACCTTCGTGAGGAAGCTTTGGAAGTGATTCGAAATGGATTGCCCAAGATGACCAGAGTCAAGGCTGTTCTCGGCCTGGATATTGGTTTGGACAGTGGTCCAATCTATGTCGACACACGGGAGGAGCCTCGCATTCTGCAGACATTTGACAGCGAACCTGATTGCCGCGTAAAGATTAAGCCGCATTATATCACCGCCTTTGCTCAGGGTCAACTGGAACCACGGTATGCCCTGTTCAAGGATGGCTTCTTCGACGAATCGACGCTGCCAAAAGGGGATATTAAGGTGGCCGTCAAATTCGCTGACGCGCTTTGCCCCGTGGACCCAGTTCACCCTGTATCGCCCAAGCCTGGCACCAGGTTGCCGATGCCAACAGAGGACATCGACCAAGTCAGGCGCGATCTGAAGGAGTTCGGCTATGGTTTGGTGAAAAATGCCCTGACTCCAGATCAAGTACAAATTTTGGCGGAAGCCCTTCGTCAACAGGGACGTGGTGAGATTGAAGCCGGTGTTGCGGCGAGAGATGGGGGCCCAAACGCGCCTAACCAAAGGATTTGGACGTTGATCAATAAAGGACAGGAGTTCCTTGATTTGCTAGAGCATCCTCTGATCGACGAAGTCATTCCAGAAAACCTGGGTGAACACTTTCTGGTACACAGCTACAGCGCCAATATTGCGCGGCCAGGCAACGTACCGATGATGTTGCACACGGATCAAGTTGGCATCCAGCCGCCTGTTCGGAGCGTGTTCTTTGGCATCAATATCATGTGGTTCCTGACAGATGTCACGGCAGCGAACGGTGGAACTCGAGTGTTTCCTGGCAGTCACCTCGGTCCTATTGCCCCAGACGGTGAGTCGATCTTTTGGCATAACCCCGGTATCAAATTCGACAGACAAGGGCGGTGGTTACTATAGCCGGGAATTGATAACTTCGAGTGATGACACTGACTTTGCTCATCCTTCAGATCCTTTCAATATAGACGGGACAGTTGCGGCGGAGGGACCAGCAGGTACAGCACTCGTCTTCGAAAGTCGACTCTGGCACGCCACAGGTCCAAACAAAATGACGAGCGGGGAGCGGCCGGTGATTCTCATGTTTTTCATGCGTTCATTTATAAGGCAACAAGAAAACAACTTCCTCTCAATCAGGCCCGAAGTCGAAGCAAGTATGTCGGATCGAGTTCGAAGGATGATGGGGTGGTGTACAGATGGGGCTTTTGGTGGCATTGAGGGAGAAGTCAGAGAAGGACATTTTGTCAAGAAGCTTGCGCATCCAGTCGGACCTTTTAGGGACTCACATCGATACACGCCGTTCCGGATGGATATGAGAGCCAAAGGCGCCAGTGGTGTCCGCACTGCCGAGCTGATTGGAAACCAAGCAATGTAGAATCTGGATGGCTATCTACAGCAAATGTTTTGCCAGGAAACAACTGCTGCCGAGGCTGCACCATATCCTTCTGATAATTGGCTAGCCTAAACTTCGGGAATACAAGGCTGACATATCGCCTCACCTTCCTTAAACAATGCCGTCTTGTAGACCGCCCCTCCGAAATCGCAGTCAGAAAAGTACGAGCACAGGGGACTCGACTTTCGTCCACTTGCTCTAGCAGCTCATAACGACCCTAATTCAAGTCCTTTCACCTGCCCATAGTCCTACTGCACCTTTTCGCGGTCACATTGAGGCGCTGGCGCCACCATGTCCGCCTCACTACCAGGGAATCGAGATCTTCCAGCATCTCAATATGACCTCTCAACATATTGGGGCCGTGTAATGCAGTCGGCACAGCTAGCAGATCCGAGGTGAGGACAGAACAAGCGTCACAGTATGAAGTGTCGATTTGAGAATTTCCGAGCTGGTGTCCAATTGTGCCATCAAATGGTGCTGAAGGTACAGCGCAATAGACCACAGCACATACAGCGACGTCCTTTTACTGGAACTTTGGTAACTGACCATTGCTTGACTCACAGGACACTATTTGTTTCCTCCTCTGGCCTCGAAAATGCAAAGCGACTGGTGACATCTTATAAGACCGGGGAAGCAAAAGTCATGACGCCGGAGATATGGCAAGCCAAAAAGATTGTGGATTCAACACTCCATCCAGGTTCGATCATGTCTCGTGCGCCTAAACAGAGAGTGTCTAACAGCGCAAAGATACTGGCGAACCCGTCTTCCTCCCATTCCGCATGTCCTGCTTCGTGATCTCTAATCTGGTTGTCACCGCTGGTATGCTCACACCCAACCTGAGCAATACTGGCACAGTCGCCTGGCAAATCATAAATCAATCACTCAATGTCGCTATCAACTCGGCCAACGCAAACAAATCTTCACCACTCAGTACATCCACGTTGGTAAAATCCTATCTGATGGCAGTCTCTGCCTCTTGTTCTGTCGCTGTCGGGTTGAACTCGCTCGTGCCGCGGTTGAAACGCCTCTCCCCAAACACCAGACTTATCCTAGGCCGCCTCGTTCCCTTCGCAGCCGTGGCCAGCGCAGGTGCGTTGAACGTGTTTCTCATGCGCTCCGAAGAAATCCGCCGCGGAATCGACATCTTCCCCGTGCAATCCGAGGAAGAAAAAGCCGAACGCGAGAAGACAGGCAAAGAAGTCACGTCCTTAGGCAAATCTCGCAAAGCCGCCATCCTCGCCGTGGGCGAAACAGCGATCTCCCGCGTCCTAAACGCCACTCCGATCATGGTCATTCCTCCGCTCATATTGGTCCGACTTCAGAAAACAGAGTGGCTGAAGTCCCGGCCTCGGATGGTTTTGCCCGTGAATTTGGGCTTGATTCTGACGACCAGTATCTTCGCCCTGCCGTTGGCATTGGCGGCGTTTCCGCAGCGGCAGGCTGTCAGTGCGAAGAGCTTGGAGGAAGAGTTCTGGGACAGGGGCGGCGAAGGGGGCTTGGTGGAGTTCAACCGCGGGATATGATTCTGGAATTGTGCGTTGGGGTCGATGGATGTCCCATTAGGGGAGATGCAGCTGGTTAAGCATGGTGTTCGTTGGTGGATGAGAGAAAGGAGATGAATGAATGTCGGGGTCAGGTGCTATTGCAATTGCAAATGCGGATGCAGATGCACGCGGTAGACGCACCCTTTTGCACATGCATAGTCGGATAATGTGCCATTATATATTCTCCTCCTTTGAGATGGAGATGGTTCCTTAAGGAAATAGACGGTCTACACATATACAGACTCGCATACAGATGAGGCCTTATCCATGATAGAAGGGAAGGCAGCAATGTGATGGATGAACTAACTACAATTACTAGCTATTAGTGCTCTCGTGCCCTCTTCGTCTGGAATTGTTCCATTAAGCACTCCAGAGTATCGAGTGTTGAGTGTCGAGTACTTCGATTATCAGCAGAAATCTGAGCTGTCTGATTCTCCCGCTCACGTCTCCTGGGATTCGGAGATTCTGCCACTCACCCTGGGGGTATTGTTTGTCCATGACGGCACATCCTCCATTATTGCCTCAGCCTGGCTAGCCTTCCTTGACGGGAAACCACTTTCTCTGATAAATCGGTTCGCAGCATACATAAACCTGTATGAGGAGTTCGAGGACAGCTCGGCTCGGCGATTGCCCGCAGGTGCCTTCGAACAAAAGGGGTATCCCATGCATTTCCTGCCCGGTATCTTTGAAAGCGTCAAGTGTCATTCAATGCCATCTTCGCCTGCTGATCGATTGCATCAGATCCCCCAGCCCTCTTTCTCCTTGTCGGGTCCTCTGTTCTTCTCTTCTTCTCCCTCCCCAGTAAGCCCTTGTTTGGCAACATCCGCCCAGCTCTGTTCTTGCCCATTCGCGTCTCCTTCCCCTTCACCTTTATCATCGAGATCAACGTCCACATTTTCATCCCCCACAACCTGACGCTCGTCCATTATGGTGTCTTCTTCCTCGGCTTTGGCTTCTTCGCTCTCGCCCGTTTCTCTACCCGTCGCCTCCTCTGACTTTATCTGGTTCTGATTCAAGCAGGGACCAGTCTCCTCTTCGGCGACGGTGCCATTTTCGTTTGGGGACTTCGACTCGGATGTGTATTCCTCTACCATCGACTGTGACTGCCCTTCTTCCGTTGCAGCGTCTTTTGCCGACACCAAACGTTCCTCGATTTCCTGTTTAATAGCTTCAGCATTGCTTTCAGCTGATTCCGTTGCTGCTTCTGCAATATCTCTCTCTTCATCACCTGCCGTTTGGCCTGACTCTGTGGTATCCTTGACAACTTCTGTAGAATGCGCATTTGGCGTTTGGGACGCCTCGACTGCGCGTTCTTTCAGTCCGGTCGCTTTTTCAGCAGCTAAATCAGCACCCGGCCCAGCCTGCTCTTTCAACTCCTCCACCTTCTCCGTGGCGTGTTCGACGGCGGGCTGGGTCTTCTCTTCCAACTCCCCGACTTTCTCCGCGACATAGTCGACAGCGGGCTGGGTCTGTTGCTTGACGTTCTGAGCCGTCGATTTAACGTTTTCCATAGTCTTTTCGACAGCTTCGGCGGTAGAGTCCATCACGGTTTGTGCCTGGGCGGAAATCTTCTCCCTTGTCTCATCGTCTCCAGCCTTCTCAACAGCATTCTTGACCTTTTCGGCAGTATCGTGCAGATTCTTCCTCGTTGTTTCCATATCACGCTGAAACTCCAGTCTGACCTTTTCGGACTCGGCGCTGGCCCCTTGCTTGACCTTGTCTGAATGTTCTTTTATCGTGGTCTTGGCTTGTTCTGCGGACTCTTTCAACTCTCTTCTGACTTCATCACCGTCCACAAGCACGGTGTCATCTCCGATGTCGTCTGAGACGCGGTGCATTTCCTCAACAGCCTCGCTGAGCCGCCGCGCCACGCCTTTGGATGCATCTTGAAAACTCTTTCGCGCGACCATAGCAGCTTCGCTGGCTGATCGACTTCGTCTTCTCTCAACTTGCTCGAGGTAAGAGGTGATAAAGAATTGTAAGAACAACCACGTCAAAGGCAAGAGATACATGCAGTTCAGGAGGATGGCAAAGACTTCACCACTGGTGTCGAGACAATGAACCCACTGGAGCTCATCTCTAAACCTTATCTCTTCTCTCCTAATGACGTCTTCAACAATGTGGACAGCATCGACTCCAAACGGCTGGCCTTCCTCATTCAACACATTCTCTGCAAGGCCTTCATAACCCGCACCTCGGAGGAGTGCCTTCTTCAGCCAAGCCCCCATACCGGCAGAACCTGTCGAAATTGCGGCGGATATACTCGAGGTGACCTCTGTTGGAGCTTCGGACATGACTTTGGAAGTAGCTTCTCCCAGGTGATGGATATAGGAGACGCTGACCGGGATTTGGTAGGCGACAAAGATGTGTAAGAAAGCATATGTCGCGCCGACGACAAATTGGGTGATTTGAAGTGTCGTCAAGGTCTGTTTGAACCATTTGGGGACTTTGATTCCAAGTGCTGAGCAAAGGTAGAATGTGTACTATACGCATGTCAGCAGCGCTGTTTAATGCAATTTGGGTCGATTTACCATGATTGTGTGGATGCCGGAATTGACCAAGACGAACATCCAGATTGGCGGAGACATGTACCTGATTCCAGCCCACATACACAGCATAGCTCCAGCGTGGTGATAGGTTTGTAAGAGACTACTCTTCCTACCCTTGGCCAAGATGATCAATGTGTCCACGACCTCGTAGAACTTTGAGAGGTAGAACAACCAGCCATAGAATGCCAGCCCTTCGTTCCAGATACGGCCCACGTCTGTAGTCTCAGGACCAAGTCCTTCGGCATCCAGGTGGAATAACCGATTTGTCATTTGCCATGCGCTGGTAGTCACGTTGTATGTCGCGGCACTTCCAGCTCCTCTAGGTCCATGCATTTTGCAAAGTGCGTCCACCGTCCCGGCGACTCTCCATTCTTCGTTCCATTCTGGCAGAGACAGGCGCAAGGCATTGACCATGCCCACGCAAGTCCATGCTGAGTATGCCGCCAGGAAGATATTGTGGAGAATGACGAGAAATTTGAAGACATACGTCCGACTGAATGCCCACGGCTTGTACTTGCGATTGGCGTTGACCGAGTTCATAAAAGATACCAAGGTCATGTACACCAGCGCAACAGTGATGGGGACATGGGGAGACAGGAGCGCATTGTACAGGTCCGCAGGGATGGTGAAGGGGTGCGCGAGCGTTGGGTTGTTCGCAGGCGGAGGTACGGTCGCGGGTTCTGGTGATGGAGGGAACTTGAAATATGAGATTGGTAGGGTGGTGACCTTGACCTGCGGCGAAGTTTTGCTCAGACTCAGCCAGTCAATAAGGTCTGAAACCGACATGATGAGCGCCGGCGAGGGAAATTCCGGTCGCGTGAGGAGGAGGTGCCCAGAGTGTGAGTGCGAGTGCAGAGAGAACGCGCAGGCACAAAGGAAGAGGGAAAGAAAAGAATGGAATGGCCAGGAACTAGATGCGAAGCATGATGGAAACGAACAAGGAGCGCGACAAGAGACTCGCAAACCTATCACAGATCAGAAGGTGGTGGTGTGTTTGAACTGAAAAAGCTGGTGTTGGTGCAGCTCTGCTCCATTGTCTCCCATACGTCAAAGCTCCGTCCAGCCACACCAACGTCATGCCCGCCACCAAGTCAATACCAACCACAGCATCATCCAAGCTTTCTCGATGCCGCAACCCTGGCTGGGACCAAGCTACCGTTCGGGAACTGCTTCCGCAACGCCAATGCTGGAAGGTAGTCACTTTATGAGAAAATCACTCTAATTGCACATCTACGTAGCGAGTAGGTGCATCCTTGTTTGATCCATGCCAATCGCCACGGCTACAAATGCATTCCGTTGAACCTGCCAACTGGCTCTCTGGAACTCACATGCAGCCCATGGAACCCAAATCCAATCACCCCGTCGACGTGTGCACGCCCGATCTCCGTCATCGTCTTTGCATCGAGTACAAGCAGATAGCTCTTCCCTCCCGGCCCATCGAGGACCACCGACAACAGGACCCCGCCGTCCTCATCCTCAGATTGAGGGTCTGCCACGAATATGGGCTCGCCGGGGCTTTGGCCATGGACACTCCATCGTACTGTTGCATGTGTCTCGGCGTCGTACTTGACAAGGCCGTCGACGAAGGTAGATTTTCCAGTGTCGGTGATTCCGTACATGTACCGGTGCTTTCTCGTCACCATTTTCGGGTTGATGATAGGAAGCTCGAATGCGTCGGCCTTCGTGCTCTCATACTCCAGACTGGCCTTTGCTTGCCCGGGTTTTGGTGTCGACGGTATGCCCGGCAGGCGATATCTGCGGTAGTTCGGACGTGAGCTGGGACTCAATGAATCTGCATACGCGTGCGCCTGGGGAAGATGGCTCATCAGGTTGTCTAGATAGAAGTGGTGGAGAACATCCATACTCTCATAGGCGGCTAGGTCGCACACGATGTCAACCGCACCTTGATGGGTCTTCGACGGCTCCTCGTACGCGTTGATTGTGTGGAAAGAGTAAAACGCGTCGGAAATATATTTGGCGATGACGCCCTTGCCGCCCTCTTCTAGCGACCGCTTGTCAACCACGAACCAGGTAGTGGGACGCTTGTCGTCCCACACCATAGCATCCAGAAGATTTCGATTCCAGAGAATAGACGCGCCTCCGGCTTTGTAAAATGAGTTCCACACGCACAAAATCACGTAGTTCTTGGTCAGAAAGAGGGAATGAAGGTACGCTGGAGTGTGGTGAAATGTAGCCAAAATGGACGTCTTTCCTGTAGATGCGGAAGCGCGCCACAGGCGATACGTCCCGGTACGACCAAAGTCGAGGTTGTAGTTGAACACATCCCCTGTAGCAGGGTCTGATTTGGCATGTGCTCCGCTGCCAACACCTTTGAGGTCAGGATGAAGAATGGTCTGGTGCGCGACGCCCACGGGTTCCAGGGTTTCCGGTTCGAGAAATTGGAAAACATTGGCATCGGTTTTATTGCATAGAGTCATAGCTTGGCTGGGGCCTCGAGGACCTTTTGCTCTATGGCCATCTCTTGTCAAGCCGGGAAAGTTCACCGACATGGTTACTGCAGCGTTGAGCTCGTTCGGCTTTGCTCGAGGAGCTGAGGGTTGAAAGACCGCCTGTACTTTTTGAAAGAAGGATTTGCAGGGATCGTACTTCGCGGCGAATGTGAATTCATCCAACTTTCCCGTCTTCTGGATCTTTTCAATAAGTCCATCGCTGACCAAGCGAGAGTTGTACGTGACTCGCACTTTCGAATCTGGCTGGGGTGCGTGTATCTGGAAACGATGGACCTGGGAGAAGTTGTCGAACCAATGATTGACCTTGAACTCAGTGTCCTTCGACGTATGGATTGACCTTGGCCCAAGGCCTGTACGAAACAGAGTGCCCGCAGTGTAAGCCGGAATGATGCCTTCCACCCTTAACTCAACCGGGGTCTTCTCCTCATATTTTGCATCGAACTAGAGATGGTCCTCGTCAGGGATGTCCTTAGGGCAGATAGATATGCTTACCCCCAGAGTATTTGGCCAATCATGGTAGTGTACGGTGGTGGTCGGCTTCGCACCTGGATTTCCCATTTTTGTACTGGTAAATCCAAGATTGGAGAGGGATCTGATTGATTGTCTTTTGGTGCCACTACGTCTGGTCCTGGAGCAAAATGGGTTTAATGAGATGCCCTTTCTGCTGTGAATCATAGTATAGTATACCCTGACATACTCTGCTTCGTATGACTTTCGCCTCTTTTTCTTATAGATTTCTGTTCTATACCCCAACCGCGGCGTTCTGCTTTGAGTCCCTCCGTCCCTTACCAATTAAGGACGTAAGATCTTTGATATCAACGAAGCTTGTTAGCATCGACCTGCATGATCTGCCAGCGACCGAAAAGGGTATGATGCGCGAGGCTGCCATGGTGACAGCCTTGCAGGTACGGTTACGGCCGAGAGAGATGGCAGCCTTACCAAATGTGTCATCTGTCTGCGAGGTGCGAAGGATCAAGCAGAAAGGGGCACGGAGAGTTCGTAAAGTTTGCTCTTGATCAATAGATGGATGAAATGGTAATGTGAGGAAGCAAAAAGGGTGGGAGGAGAAGGAGCCGACTCAGGTCATGAGAGGCTAAGAACAACACACGTCTTCACATCCAGTGTTACTCTGTTGGTCAATAAATACCAAACATAGACCCTCAAAAGAAACCAGAAGGAAGTCCTCATCGGAGGAGAATGGAGACAATGGCTTTAATGGAAAGGAGTCCGTATGCTGGAGACAAGTCGCAAAATGCTTTGTCCATATAGAGACAGGATGCCACTACATAGCCAAGAGCTTCGGTTAGCCACCAGAATCTCCTAGTCCACGTCATTGAAGAGAGGTTCGCAAATACGAACATCTCGCCTGGCATGAGGCTAATTGTGGATGGACTGGCTCTCGTCTTTGGTCATGGCATGCAAAGGAGATGGTAAAGGGATGAAGTCCAAGAGTGTCACCAACGCGGGACTCACCGCCTTGCCGCCTCGCTGCCTGGGCGCCAAGCATATCTCGCTTATTGGCGAGATCATGCATCGGATAAACATCGGATAAACGGTGATTGGTTTGTCCGAGGTGTGTCCATCTTGATCATCCAAACTTCGACTCTTTGCCCGAGTAATTCTTTCCAGCCTGGTTTTGGCTCTCTGCCTCCACGCGTTACTTCCTCCAGCCCTCAACCCCCTTCAAGCGCCCTGGCCATGACAGATCCACAGGATCACGACATGAACCTGGAAGAAGATTACGACGAAGAGGCTGACAGTGACTTTGAAGGCGATGGCTCGGATCCCGAAGCCCTGTCCTCTTCGTCCGATGACGCTGATCGAAATGCCGACGGTGCGTCCCGTCGACCTCGCAAACGGCAGAAGACCGAAAAGTCGCGGACTCAGGGAGAGTTGACTACAGAACTCGACTCAGGTGATGAGGCCACCATTCGCGAACAAAAGAAGGCGCGAAGGAAAGGAAAGAGAGATGAGCATAGCGGAGATGACTCAGAAGGGTGGCGAGCCCGGACCCGCACTATGCGGACGAAGGAAGAGGAAGAAAGAAGCAGGAACAGACTGGCATCAAGCAAGGGGAGCACTCTTGATGTCAACAAGATATGGGAGGAGATGAACCGGCCGGGTCCACTTCCTCCTCCACGCGTAGAGGGTGACGCCGGCGACCAGACGGTGAGGTCTCGCGATGTTGGTTCTGTGAAAGAAGACATCGACAAAGAGAATGTGCCTGTCGTCGATGGTGAAGAGACCATCACGATTAAGCGGACATACAAGTTCGCAGGTGAGATTCACGTGGAGGAAAAGACGGTTCCCAAGTCATCGGCAGAGGCGCGGCTGTGGTTATCTCAGCAAGAGTCCTCAAAGTCTGGGTGCCTATCAGCTGATGGCAAAGTCGTGAATCGACCGCTTCGCAAGATCTCCCGCTTTGATCCCAATTTCAATAATGCTGGCGCATTCAAGGGGTCTTGGACTTCCACAGCAACGCAAGCAACCCAGTTCAAAGGTCCTAAGCTCAATGTTGTTGAGAAGAGTAAGATGGATTGGGCCGAGCATGTTGATACGGAGGGCCTTCAGGAGGAGTTGGATACCCACGCAAAGGCAAAAGAGGGCTATCTGACAAGAATGGACTTCCTGAAGCAAGTCGAAGAGCGCCGGGAAGCCGAAGCGAGGTTGGCGAGAACGAAAGGCCGTTAAGGAGCTACTCCCGCGCCTGCCCAAGGCTGAACCCTGGAGTAGATCCCTCTTCTCAGATACGGGTCGCAGTTCGCTCTGCCAGCCCCTGTCGGTCATGGTTGCTCTGGCCTTTGCGCTGCTTCCACTTAAGTGGCCTTGGTTGGACATGTGAGACTCACGCCTCTTGAGGCTCGGCGCTCACATCTTCGTGCTTTTCAGTTGTTTTGCCGCGGACAGTGACCACTGTTGTCTGTTCTCTGACTGTCTGACCCCCCACCGGTCCTTCTTTGATGAATCACATCCCATTGCTATCGACTACGTGCATTCGCTGAGCCGAGCTACCTTGTGGTTTAGCAGCCCTCATGGAGAGCGGCTGTCCTTTTCCTGGCCCCAGGATGCATCACCCAAGTCCCCGGCTTCCAGCTCCATCCTTCGCCCCTCCCCGTTGCGGATCACCAAGTGGGCATGTAGGCAAAGGCAGAGGCCCCATTACAAAGAGAATGGCATCTGCCTCGCCTTTAAGAACGGTAGACACAAACACCTGCTCACCTCCTCGAGTTCGGCCAGTCCTGTCTACCAGAACTTCGATCAACTCCAGGGCCAGTAGCATACCTACTACTCCTCTCGACGGGATACCTGGGGAGTTGTGGCCACGAATCCTCCGAACTTCTGCTGCCGCTGAGACCAGTAATCCTGAGCTTTCAGTCGACGAAATCACCTCCACAAGACTGTCTCTCGACGATCAGGCCATCCTGGCCAATACGCCCAGAGAGGGTAGCCGCAAAGAGGCACTATCCCGCAAGCTTGTCATCAGAATGGCGTTTGGTGGCATGTGGGGAGAAAACAGTGACCGTCTCAAGAGAATGACAAAGAGGTTGAAGAATATACCAAATGGCTTATTCACACGCAAACGATCGCTAGAAACACTGCCAACTCCAACCACTCTCTCGCAGCCTCTTCCAGAGCCGACGCTGCCGCAGTTGGAACTTACCACTGAACTCTGCGTTCAGACAACGGGCACATCGTCAAATACGGAAGATTTCGATGAGAGCAAATCAAACACGCCTGTGGTACACCCCCAAGCTAATAACTCGATTTTCCAGCTTCCGCTGACCATGCTGAGCAGATGGATTACGAGTGCAAAATCAAGGTATCAGGGTCATGCCCTGGAGAGATGGCAAAGGTACGACTTTGAGCGACAGCCTGGATAGTTGGCACCTAACGACGTTTCGAGATATCCTCTTTCATTCGCGAAGATCTTCATGAAGCTACAAATAAAGACCGTACTCTACCGCCCTTGTGTTCGGGCAACCCCAAGGTCTGTCTGCCCACCCTCTTTCCTTTTGCTATGTGCTGACTGAGGCAGCGACTACCACGTCATTTCAGAATGGCTCCTGTCTATGGTCACGCAGCCTCAACATCAACGGTCAACTCGATTCCTATCGCTGAAGACCGCTTGCTCCGTGTTCCACGCCCATTGAAGGTCTCCTCTCGACAAACTGTCACGAGGGCTTCCTCCGTCGGGAGCGTCGATGAGATGCGGAGCCGTGCTTTTGGAAGCCGACGAGTCAGTCGACCTAGCTTGTCTAGTGGATCAGCCAGACACAGCTACACTCCCAGCATCAGCCGGACATCACTGTCGGCGTCTCGTCCTGCCACCCACGCGGGGTCGATATCTTCTTCAAGCACTACCATAGCCCCTCCGCGGAGACCAGTTGTATACATGGACACACCTATCTCGCGTTCTGATTATATTTTTAATGGTTATGACTCGAGGAAGCGCCCATCAGGAGCCTCCACAGCACGGCCCGTGTCCAAAGGAGCTTCCATCCGGAGCAGTCAAGATAGTCATGCAAATCTATCCTTGAACTTACCTCCAGAAGTCGAAATCGGCCTCGGGGACATACCCGGGTACAAAAAGGTCCCACTCTACACCCCTAGGAGATTCGAAGTGGCAGAACTCTCTGGATCCTCACAACAAGACGAGGCAGTCGAGCAGAAACAGAGATTTTTCCCTCACTCCGGACCGAAGAACTCCAGTCCAACGATATCAGACATCTCATTTGGTTCACTACGGGGACAAACATCCATCCAATCACATCTTGAAAGAGAAGCCATGGTTCGAGAACAAAAAAGCGAGTCCGAGACCCCTCCAGCCATGGGTGGTTGTGAGAAGCTCTCTAGAGCCCTGTGTGGTGCTTGGTCGGAGAGTACTACCCGACTTTGGCAGAAGGGGTGCAAGCGGCACGGTCTCTAGGTGCGCATAATGGGAGCTGGTCTTCTTCGCAGGGTGCGAGAAAGGATGAAGCTCACCGGTGCTCGTTAGTATCTGGCTACCTCCAGTAAGCCAAGCAGTGTATTATCTCAAGCAAGAGCTGGACCAAGTCCAAGTGAGACAGATGGATGGGCTACCGGGAATAAATTGAGCTCGGCATGTGCATTTATGGTTTATTCTTGTCTACAATGGAAAGTGAACCTAGGTACTATGTAGATAGCATGCAGGGATCAAGTCTACTTAGAGGATACTCCATACTCTGCCCTCTGCTCAGTACTTCTTGCCATGGTGGCGGTACATATGCCTCCCCCTTGCAGGCCACCAAAAGAAGCGACTCAGCCGCGAAAAGAGCTTGGCGCGTGTCACGGTCTACTTGTGAAATCTGTCTGTCACCTTCGTCTCACTTTCAGCTTCAACTTTTCAACCAAATGCTTTCCTACGTACTGGTACTAGGCCACCAGTCTTTCACTCCCATCTATTGCTGGGTTTCCCGCTTCCTTGGATGGGTATCTGCTATTTTACAGGTCGTCTTCAAGCAAAGGTATCCTTCTCCCCTAGTCGCCCAATGCAGCACTGAAATCGAAGTACTGGTCCCAGTTGCATGCACGCTTTCCCTCCCAGTACTCATACAAGTGCAAGTTCACGATGCCGACTTCGAAAACTTTGAGATCCCTAACTTTTCAACACGAGATAAGTTTTTCGCACAAGTTTTTCACCATTGATGCAGCTAAGCAAAGGATTATTTTCAATCGCACATGTCAGGAGAAAATACCTGAAACAGGAGCGGAAGGTCTGCTCAATCGCGTCGGTCCGATTTTTCCCCTGGGGAACCAGAAGTACCATCACACAGCTCTGACACGTCGAAGTGGGCATGGCCAACATGAGTCTGGCAGCCGGAGGCGATGTTAATGGATCGGATACCCATTTTTGTCGAGCTCACCCACCCAATCTGGATCATAGAACTCGCTGTTCTTGTCCAGTGTGGCAACATATCGATTTCCTCGAACCCCCGGCCTTTTGGAGTGAGTATTTCTCAAATGACTTTTCAAGTTGTCTGTTCTGGAGAACGGTCTATTGCATTCGGGAACCCAACATCGATATGTTGTATGCGTAGACTTTTCGTGTACAGTCTTTTCGTGTCGCTTCTTGTGCTCCTGTCTTTTGAATCGCTTCTGTTTTCCCGTATGTTTGTCGATACATCCCGGATAGCTGCAGGCAAATTCATTTTGTGCGATGACCAGCTCACAGTTGATACCGGACTTGGGCGGAGTTGCCTTGGGCTTCGAGGACGAAACAACAGGACGCTTTCGCTCATAATGGCGCCGATGTAGCCGGTCAGTGTTTGGTCGTCGATTTTTGGCTTCACCGAAAGCCTGCTGCAACGAGCCATATGATAACTCCTCGACGTCATGCTGTGATGGCAGCACGCGCGGGGAGATCATCGATAGCGGACTACTGCTCAAGATTGCCGATGGAGTTATGTGCAGTTTTAGAGGTGTGGATGGCTCAATCTTGTAACTTGGAGAGCTGACCAAGGTTCCATGAAAGGCAACACTTGGTTCTATTGTCTCTGCAGGCGGATGAATGGCTGCAGATCTCCAGGCAAACATATCGTCATCCGTTACCCTGATCATCGCACCCGACTCAGAACTCGAGGGCCCAGTAAATATTGATTTTGTCAGCGCTGGATTTGTGTTGCCGTGGCTCAAACCGTGGATGTCTGCGTGGTATAATGGACGGCTAGCTTCCGTCAGGAGCAACTCATGCGTACCATTTAGCAGAGAAAGACCAGAACATCCGGGCGTCTCCCACATGGATCTATGAAGACCCCGTTCTTCATCTTGCACTTGATGGAACATATGGTGACCGCCGGTAAGGTAAGCCGAGGGATTCATGTATTGTTTGGAAGTCAGGTGTGTACCGGGATCCAGCATAATGGGGGTTGTAGGGCTCGCTGCCGTTGCTGAAGGAGTCCAGAATGCCTCGGGCGAGGCCGAATAAGTGGAAGATGCGAGGGACGGCCGACGTAGGCCACCAGAGTTCGTGCTGGATGCGTCTGAGGAGAAGAAACTGGACGAGAGAGAGGGACATTGGCCCATGAGCTCCAACGAGGAATCTCTGTCAATCTCTGGTTGATCCAGCTGAGGTAACATCTCGAAAGCGCGTTCTTCCACCTTTGGGATCGGCTGATACACTGGACACCGGAGTCAACATGCTGATTCCCCATTGAATCAGGACACCCAAGTGATACTCACTGGTTTCGTTTTGGCAATCGAGGGACATTTTCTGCATTTGAACTATCATCAACTTCAACTCAATGGAAAGGTTTGTTGAGGAGGGATGTCGGAGAGCTAGGGGAGCGTGAGAATAAAAAGGCCTATGTGTCTCGTTTGACATCGACACACGGTGCGCGTATGTCTTGAACAGAATGCAAGGCGAAGGAATGTGTTTTCAACCGAATGGTTCGCGACGGTGTGGCTGCGCGACTCCACTCAGCGTGAATCGACGAGCTTAGGCCACTGGGAACATGGGAGTTTCAGTTAGTCGAAGCCAGATTTGTCGACTCCGAATTCCTGAAAAAGGGATCATCCAGACACAGGCGAACCCGACTTGGATAGCCAGTACAGGATCGGCTTCTACTGTTCGGTACAGCGGCAAGGGGTGCTTGTTCGATGGACCTCTCGGAAGTTGAAGCACAAATCAAACGGCCTTGACAGCCTCCTATGATCGACGCAGGAGTGCTAGATCAGGCTTACGAGATTCTTGCCCTTGGATGAAGGATAAACCACCTATAGGAAGCCTGGCCACGTTCATACGCTCAACGGGCGGCAAAAGCCGGAAGTCTAGAAATGAAAGTCTTGTGCGCGGGAAGGGGGATTGACTGGTTCCAGATCACAGATTTCGGCGAGAGGCACAGATGAAAGAGGATCCCGATTCGCCCATCTTTACTCCTCGAAGGTCATGATTCAGAAGGCTGGTCATGCGCATTCAAGACCTGTTCGCGATAGCCTTGCATGATGCTTGACACCAAGGTAAACGATTCACGATAAGAGAACACTGGTCACTATCGATTGGATTATCACTTAAAGTGCTTGCATGCCAGAGAGCACCTTGGAGGTTGTCAAGTCTGTCAACATGGGGACGTATGCAGCCACCTTGAGTGAGACGAGGTAGAGTGCTACAAGTGAACATCCCTGTCTCCAATTGACAGGTGCATTCCAAAGTGGAGTCGACCTCAAATGCGAACCCGTCAATGAGCCGCGAACCTCTGGGCAGCATGCCACTTCGGCAAAAAGAGAAATTCGGTTTGTTTGTTGGGGATTGGTGCCCATGATCTAGTTGAGCCATGCCCAGCAGTCAAACCTGCATTACGAGACCCTGGACTTAGGTCCGGCTTTGGGATGACCCGGATGACTTTGGGAAGGCTTCTTTTGTCTTTTTCATTCAGCCAATGGTGGCACCAACCTGGGGTTGTGCAAGGGATGATGGCGCGGTGGGGATGCGGCACACCCAAACGCTCCCGGGCTTGGTCAAGTCGGTATGTGCCCCAACTGCCACAACAGCCAAACTGGGTCGAGATGAGCGACCGTGGCATGAATGCCAAGATGCTGGCGACGCAGACGCTCTGACCATGCTGCAGGAACCCAGCGAGATAGCCAGTTCAGACCAAAAAACTGGCGTCCCCGCCCCCAGGATCCAGATTGGTATGTTGCGCGCGGCAGCATATCATTGGGTAACACTTCTCAGACACGGCCTAGACATTTACTAAAGGTTGGATGTCGTGCATACTGACATCACCGTGCCCTAGGATGTTCCTTGAGTCTCGCGGTTTACCGAGTCTCTGTGGCTGGCATCGCACGCACCCACAGTCGAGGTTGGAATGAGATGTGTTCAGTATCTCTGCATCCTGACCTGTGCGTCGCATTGCATTGCATTTCCCGTCTACGGATCATCTTTTGGCAGAAGATCTATGCGAACTGCCTGCGAACCATTGTGCCAGATCCAGTCTAGGGGCTTCGTTGACAGACTATGCCTTCACACAGCCTTTACAGCGATTCGTCCTTAAGAAGCAACACCAATGACCACCACAGGTAGGGCCCACTACCTTTCCAGCCCCATTCGCCTGCATTCATAATGGTGTATTGCTCGGCGCTACAGCTCCAGCACGACCCGGCCAGGCACATCTCCCTTTTCAAGGAGCTGATACACCTCTGGCAGGTCCCTGAAAGGTCGCACTTGGATATGCGGTTTGACTTTGCCGTTCCGAACAAATTCCACGGCCTCGAGTGTTTCTTTCAAGGATCCTACGAGATTGCCTTGGATCTTGAGTCCTCGGATGATGATGGTAGCCACCGGGGTGTCGAGACGCACGTCCCCAGGAGGTATTCCCACCATGCATAAAGACCCACCAATCCTGATCATATCAGCCAGCCCTCTGAAGGCAAGAGGGTGGCCGCTTGTGACGACAACGGCATGTGCGCCCCCGCCAGTAATGTTCACGATCTCCTCTGGCAGGTCCTTGCACCTTGAGAAGTCGACATACCTGGCCCCGAGAGACTCCACAAATTGCTGCTTCGCGGTCCCTGCGTCGACCCCGACCACTCTGGCACCTAGAGCAAGGCCGTATTGCACTGTTGAGCTCTGTCAGCCGACTCTCGCTGCAGGCGACGAGCAAGCGATGGCCGTACCTGCGAAGTGGCCCAACCCGCCACCCGCTCCGATGACTGTGAGCCATTCTCCTTGTTTCAAACTTGCGTTTTTGACGGCCTCATATAATCAGCACCTCTTATGTTCTATTGGAAATGGGTGGGATTCACCTTGTATGCAGTCACCCCAGCACAGAGAGCAGGACCAGCGACCTTTGGATCAATGTCTTGAGGCAACTCCGTCAAAAACTTGGTGTCGAGCACACAGTATTGCTGGAAACTGCCATCTTCATGGTGCAAATGATTTGTTGCGCTGGTGCAGTGCTGGTCGCGGCCAGAAGTACAGTACTCACATTGGTGGCATACACGCGAAGCAAAGCGGATGCCCACCAGAGTGCCTAGCTGAAGCCTCTCATTCGGAGACAAGTTGGGACCAAATGCGACAACTCGCCCAACTCCTTCGTGTCCGCCTACATGAGGCAGTTTAATGTTCGTAATAGGGAGACCATCAGCACCAGTAGCAGTTCCGGCTTTGGTATGGAGATCTGTGCCAATCAGAGCGAGGCCCTAAGCTTATCAAATACCGAACGAAAAGGTTTGCTTGACCAACCACTTTGGCAGACACCAGTGTACAAGACCTTGACCAAGATCTCGTCTTCCCCGGGCAGAGTGACTGGGTAACCGTCATCGAATTCAACGGGGCCGCCTTGCCTCCGGACTATTGCAGCCGTCTGGGTCTTAGGAATGCTGTTCTCGGCCATTGTGCAGATACGAACAATACTGGTAGGCCTTCGCGATGGACTCTACTACTCTCGTCGGCACAAGAACCTTTTTATTCAACGGAGTAACCCTCTCAGCTAATTTGGTCCCACGAGCGGACGGGCCTTGTAATCCAGCGAGCACAGATGGCGACTGGTTACACAACACTTTAGGCGGCGATCCCACACACAAGTGGTGGCGTCACAGAACAGCGAAGGTCACACCAAGTGCCTTTCCAGAGCAAAAGCCATCCAAACAGATGAGCTGGTTGTCTGCGGGATGCCCGCTATTCTCTGACTCAACTGACTCCCTGGGTACCTACCTGGTCCCGTGCTCTGCTTTGGTAGCTCTGCATAATGCAAACCCCGCATCTGGCTAATTGTGAGAGTCAATCTTGACTAAAACCGCATCCTTGGGGGCCCCAGGGCCTTCGTGACAGCTGCTATCGGTTGCTCGACTGGACTCAGGGGGGCTGAATTTAAGGTTTCTGTCAAAGCTCGATTATCACTTTGCAAGGGCTTTGACAGACTTCGGCTGGCCGGTCAAGCGATGACCGAAAAGAAATCCAGGATGAGAAAGCTGTCAATAGGAGTGGAACACTGGCACTTGAAACGGGTTCCAGATTCTGGCTGAGGGCACTATTTTCTCCTGCTGGATTGATCTTAACTCGATCCTAGGGTGGGAAAAAACCCCAAGCGCTCTTCTTTCGGCGACCTCATGGCCCGGATTCATGGCGAGAGGGAAGGGAAATAGGGGCTGGTGGCAATGAAAACTGACACATGCTAGCACTTTGTGTCGCTGATCTTGAACGTGGGGTTAATGGATTGCGCCCCATGCCCCAACGATGTATCCCACGACGAAGGTTGGGGTCTTCCTCGTAGATCCGCCGGATGTCTGTCGAGTGCGGTGGTACAGGATACAGAGGTGGAATGCAGGATTTTGATCAGCGAGGAATGTGTGGCTGGGCAGCCGGCTCGACGGGATACCCCAGAGTCACGTGCATCGTACTCGGCGCGTCGGTAGATCCCCCTATGACGTCGTCAAACAATGGTCCAGTCCACCAACATGCTGCCTGCGCTTTCTCTGCCACCCACTGCGCTGTGCAGTCTAGTTTTTGCTATTATCTGTCTTGTATCAACAATGGACAGGAGGCTGATTCAATGACCTGAACTCCACAACTCCTCCTCTTCCAACCTCATCCAACGTCGCCCTCAATGGCATCCTCCTACAATCCGGCCTGCTATTTGCCTCACTCATGGGCGTCCTACCTCCCCGATGCCATTTCCTGCCCTCCTCCTCCTTCCTTCGCCCAAACTCTCTACAGCTATGCGATCTCGCCCTTCTTGTCGACATACACGGCTTTGCGCACCATGACGGACGCACTCATTGGACTGCCAATGCTCTCTTTCCTCCTGATACCCACCATGTCCTCATACTCGACATCCCTCAATCTCTTGTTCTTTTACTTGACCTGGTCGACCCTGGTCCTCTCACACCCTCCGCTCCGAGTTGAGATCGTCGCGAGTCTGGCGGTTCGGGTTTTATTCTACATCGCCCCTTCACTGTTCTTCTTGGGTTTTGACGCCCTCGTTCCCTCTATAGCCGAAAACCTCAAAGCATTGGGCGACTCTGCATTGCCGTTCAAGAACGCCAATCGAAAAAGAACACTAGCTCTGTTGCGCCTACTGGGCTGGTCGACCTTCAACATCCTCCTGGGGGTTCTGGTCCAAGCCCTAGTGGAGCTCCTCTTTACACGCGTCCTTTTTTGGCGCTCTGCATTGCGAGTGACGACAACCCTGCCTTTGCCATGGGGTATTCTCAAGGATCTCGCACGGGGTTATCTCCTCCGCGAAATCATTGCGTACATCCTGCACAGATATATACTGCACGACTGGCAACATACCGTTTCCCTGAGCAGGGCACATCGAGACTGGTACCACGCCCTTGCCACCATCTCGGCGCCTTTCCCCCTCAGCGCTAGTTACGACCATCCGGTCGCCTATCTCGTCCGCTCGTTCTTGCCGACTTACGTCCCTGCGGTGCTGTTCCGATTTCACCTCTTAACCTACATATTCTACCTCACTCTCATTTCGCTGGAGGAAACATTTGCACACAGTGGATACTCCACAATGCCCACCAATTTCATACTGGGAGGAATAGCACGTCGGACTGACAATCACTTACTATGCGGCGGAGAGGGGAACTTTGGACCCTGGGGCCTATGCGATTGGGTTATGGGCACGTCTGTTGGGGCTGACATTATTGACGATGTGGTTGCCGAGGCGGATAAGCATGATGTGCCGGAAAGGATAGAGAAGATGAAGAATAGAGCAAAGAAGAAGGTCAACGGAAAGGTCAACGATATGAAAGGAGGTATGCGGCGGAGGACAAGGAATCGAAGCGAGGATTGAAGAGAACGTCTGTGACCATCTATGAGAGATTCAATGTGTCACCAATTTGCGTTAGAATTTTGGCGATTCGTTACCGTTCGAGATAGTGAGAGGAGCTGATCTGTTAGCAAGCGCTTTCAATTGAACAGATGGAGGACTCTCGGGGACCCCGCATGTAGCAGCTCATCTTGGTCTTGGGCCAATTCATTACTTGCATTCGATGCTTGACACATTCCTCTGTATTTGGTCTCTTGGTCCTGATAATGAAACGTACACTATCGGCCACGATTGCATGAAAGCTCCGTCTCTGTTTTTATTGATCGGCAAGATCATGCCATGGCTCAAACCGGCCCCGCCCCACTTTGTCACAGCATGGTTCGGTCTTTTTTGGTTCTTGCTTTGTGTGGGAAAGGGTAGTAGAGTGCTGCTTGGAAAAATCTCCCCCTGGACATTGTGGTGCAAGCAATGCACACCTCATAACGCCCCCGCCCGGCTCTCGGTTTTCTATCTCAGCTCCCCTCTGTTGGATCTTTCTGCCGCCGCTCCCAAGCAACGCACGCACGCACGCGCACTCCTTGCGTCCCACCACCTCCCCATACATACATACATACATGCATGACCACTTTCGGCTCCCCCTGCTCTGCTCTCAAGTCAAATGACTGACTGACCGGCTGGCGGCTTGCGCTGCACCTGGTGCTCAGCCCAGTCTAAAAGGCCATCTCGTGGGGCTTCTGGCCGTGTCTCAGGCTGAAGCTGGACTTCAAGTAGCTGGCGAGGAACTCTTCGTTCTTGATTGCGGAAAGTATGGGCTTGTCGATGGTCTTCTGGTCGGCCGCGCGTTCGGAGGCGGGTGCCTTCTTCTGCAAAAGTAGAAAAATCTCAGTTAGTGTCTTGAGAACTGCGGATGTAAAATGGAATGACTACAGGCTTTTGCTTGTTTCTTACCTCGGGCTTCTCCCCCTGCTTCAGAAACGCCTCCTCGCCCTTCTGCTTTCTGCTCTTCTTCTCCCGCGCAAAGTACTCTGGGCTGGCAATCTTGTCCAGTGTCGACTGGTCAAGGCCGCTGAGGTCGACCTTTGTGGATGTGGCAATGACGTATCTGGAGTTCACTCGTCGGAGAGGCACCCCATTGATCTTGAAGGGACCGGTGACGAGGAGCGCGCCTTCCTTGAGGTTCTTGAGCAGAATGACTCGCTTGCCGCGGAATCGACCGGCCAGGAGGATCAGGACGGCGCCAGGTTGTAGCGAGGCTCGAGGTTTGGCTGGGTGAAGCGACTTGCGGGCCTAGAATTGTGTGGTGCACCGGTCAGTCAACGGGGTTCTCCAGGGATCTTCCGATATTATTCATTGACTGACCTTCTTGCGTTGAGGCTCGTCGTAGGCGGGATACCACTTTCTGGCCTTCTGAGAGGGATGGGGCACAGATCGCTCGCCCGATCCGAACTTCTTGACGACGGCTGGCTTGGCCTCCGTAGAAGACATTTTGACCTTCAACCTTGACCACGCGGGCTGGAGATGCGAGAATGAGTTTCGTGGTGTTGTTCGCCGGATTGTGTGGTGGGAGAGTCGATATCCAAGCGCAGAATCGGGAAAGTGTGCGATTTCATTTCTTGGCGTGGGCACATGCAGGTTCCGATCTTGGGTGCAATGGAAATTCGCCATTGGGGGAGATGTGCATCACGTGACCGTTTTGGTGACTGCAGCCAAGAGCTTTTTGTTCCCGCAGTTCGCATGGTCCAACCTACAGTACTGCACAGTACCCTGCAGGGACATAGGCTCGGCCTCGTACGACCAGGCTTTATATGCTGTCGTCCTCTATCCAAACGGTCATGCCAGTACAACCACCTCTCGAATCTCAAGACCGAAGTGTGTAGCGGCATTTTAAAGCTTTGGCTTTGGATTCAACCCATCAAATTCTTCTTCAATATTGCATCGTCTGCGCCACTGAACCTTTCGGCGTTCACTTTCGTTTCGTCATCCCCATACAATGTCTATTTCACCTATCCTAACGTTCAAGGCAGGGCTCTGTGAGCTTGACGTAAGCGTTGAGGCTTCCCATCACTCCCCTTTCCAGTTTGCTAACTGCTATCTTTTTCCAGACAAGCACCTCGCCTCCACGGGCTAAACCTCTTCCCACTCCAGGATACCTCTACCTCTACGCAGAAGAACTCCTCCACTTATGCTGGCGACCGAGGACCGCTCCGTTGGACCAACCGCAACTAGACTTGCTGATGCTTCCAACGGACGGGTCGTTCACTCCCTATCAACCTACCAGCGCTGAAAACCCATCCAATCCGAAGACGCCGACGAACGGAAGAATCTACGTTCTTAAGTTCAGCTCCAGTTCGCAAAGATACCTCTTCTGGTTGCAATCCCGCAGTCAGCATCCGCAGGGTGACCCATCATGGTTCTCCGCTCGAGATTTGAAACTGGGCCAAATCGTGAACAATCTTCTCCAGGGCGAAGAGGTCGATGTCCAAGAACAAATGGCCAGTTTGCCCCAGGATCAAAATTCCCCAGACGACGAAGGGCCGGAGCCGATGGAGGAGGTGGAAGGGACGGATCATGATCCTAATCGTCACCCTTCAGGCGGCCCAGGAGCTGGACCTGATGCCACAGGGGGGGATTTTCGCGAGGAAGGTGAAGAGTCTCGCGAGGGCGGGGCAGATGGCGGACGAGCGTAGGTACCTGCACCGTCGTGCGTTTTCCCTTCCGTTGCGAAGTCAGCTGTCTGACTTCCCACATCAGGTCGGCCGCGGGTGGGTTAGATGCGAGTGCCTTGGTTCGGAATTTTCTTCAATCCATGGAACAACGCAGCCAACGACAAGGTTCCCAAGAAAAGCTATTCACGACGCTCGCAGACCTGCTAACACCGGCGTCAACAATACCATTGCTCGAGTCCGCCGACGACAAATTATTGAACCGGCTGTTTGATTGCCTCCCTCATCAATTTCCGGATTTAGTGCAGGCTTCGGTTGACACGTCAGCCTTGACAAATCCGAACTCGACTCCTGAGGAGAAGGATGCAGTGGGAGAGGCATTGACCCAAGCTAAAAAGACCATGTTACGAAAAGTGTTGCACTCGCCACAGTTCTCGCAAAGTCTGGCCAGTCTGACGGTTGCACTGAGAGAAGGTGGTCTTCCGATAATTAGTGAGACTTTCAAGATCCCGGTACGTAACGGTGGATATCTCAGACATGGCGGAGTACCCATGGGCGGTGGAGAGGCTGTGGAGGCTTTCATGGCGGGAGTGAAACAGGACGTCGAAGACAGATTGGCTCGAGGAGAGGAGGATCTGGCAGCGGACCGGATGGACGAGGACTAAGTGTCCGCGCATCTATCTTCTATCGAGCCAGAATAGTCCACCTCGGTCCTTAAGCTGAGATGGTTGTCAGAATATACGACCCATCAGAGGGTTCGCCTTTGTTGCCGTTCCTAACCAATCGGACCAAAGGCCCTCCTCCATCTCCATAGCTTCAAGACTCCCCAATATACAACTATCTTAAACTCCTCTCACCTACAGTCTGTGGAAAAAGCAACACCGCCAAAAGATGAGCGAAGAAACTTTACTAAGCCTTAATGTCCCGAGTTCCTGCCCGTTCACAATCTATGAGATTGAATCCAGCTGGCTGACAAACTCGACCACGTATTTGATCCGCGAGCATGATAAGTACGGAGAGTTCCCGCACATCTATGCGAAGATCTGCGGTGTTCCTCTCGCGTCCGCTACAGCGAGCAGTCCTAATCCGAAGCACAGCAAAGGCTGTCGAGGAGATGGAAAGGCGATTCAGAACGAGTTGGAAGGATGCAAAGTCATCGTCCTCAGCGACACGGGCTGCGGGACAGAGGTGCCCAGTTCCAATTCCCACCAATTTCCTCCCGCGCAGGACAGCGGCGAGCAGAAACGATCCGATGTGCGTGCTGAGCCTGAAGTCTGGAACATCCGCACGTTTCTCGAGTACACGATCAACCCTGGCGGCAGGATGCCCTACCTCGTCATGGCCACGCATTGTCATTACGATCATATCATGGGCATTGGGAAATTGCCTCCCACGTCGGCGACGGCAACAGAGCGCGAGGATCGAAAGGATCAAGTACGCAGGAATGTCTTGTTTGATGGATGCGCGCGCCCTCCAACGACGGTCCTATCGTCCTCTTACGGCAAATCGTTCGTCACGCCATACTCCAATCTCCAGAACCATAGCCTCTGCGACAAACTCAACCTCCAGGCGCCACGATACGACGTGGGAATATGGGCCGAGGACATGTCCCGCGTCGTCTTAGGGCATCCAACTCTCTCATCCTCGTCCCCCACAGCAGCTACCTCTTCGCCGTCACCGCCCGCCAGCATAGTAACGCCTCTGACAATCCTTCATACGCCCGGCCACACGCCGGACTCTCTCTCATGGTACGACTCAGACTTCCGCCTTTTATGTGTCGGAGATAGTTTCTACGTGAAAGAGACAGCGGCCACTCGGAATGCAAAGTGGGGTCCAGAACCGCCGATGCCGGTCATCTTTGATTTGGAGAGCGATCTGGCCCAGTGGTGGAAGAGTCTGATGAAGGTGTTGGACTTTGTCCGGGAGAGAAATGCAGAGGGTGAAAAGGACGAGGGCTGGGGAGATGAGAGGTTGAGAGTGGAAACGAAGGAGGATGCAGATGCTGCTGATGGTGCTGGTGATGATGACGATGATGGATTCGTATATATCGATGCCGAAGATGTGCTGTCGGCGCCGTCGAAGAAAGAAGCGGGATTAGAAACAAGGCGTACCATCCCGCAATCTCGTCCTGAGGATGAGATGCAAGCAGCCTCCAATGCGAAGACAACACCCGAGAAAACAGTCACAGGAAGACAAACAAAGTCACCACCACCGACTCAACAAACGGGCTTCGACATGCCGTCACCCAGTCAACGCGGCGTCATCGCCTTACCGATCCTTTCCACACCGAGGGGCCGTCTCCCGGACAGTGCAGAGCAGGCCGACGATGTGTGGATGATGGTCGTGGATCCAGTGGTTTCTCGACCCCGTCCTCAAGTTCCTCACCGCAATGGCCCCGACCAGTGGTCAGCCCGATGTCGTCTCGAGCCCGTGATAGCGCCACCACCACGTGTTGCTCCCCCGCGTTCTCTGCCGAAGGCGATGATGACCAAGGATACAAATCCACCTGCTCGTCGTCGTCTCTCCTCCCAAGCTGGCGCGGGAAGGCGTCCCCGAGTGCGCCTTTGCGCCGCGCACACCACCCTCTCCGTGGACGCCGAGTGGGCCATCCTCTGCATGCGGCGCTTCATGACCAGGGTCCTCGAGGGCGACGTACCCTGCAGACGGGCTGAGGACGGGCCCCGGGGCGAAGAGCGCTGGATATGGGACGACGCGCTTGTGTCTTCTCGCTCGGATGCAGCCTCCTCGTCGCGCGAGGAAACCGCCCACACGACGGCGGAGACGAGGCGTGATGCCGTCCGCGTGGTTTTTCAGGACGTCGAACGCGCAGACCCAGACATCAACCATGGACAAGGACACGGGCATGAGCATGAGCGGAATGCAGCCTCGCCGCCTCTTCTGACCAAATACAGGCGCAATTCCAATTCGAATTACAGCTACAGCGTCCTGGCGCCCCTGAGCGTCATTGAGGAAGCGCGAAGAAGCATTCTCAGGGGTCCTGCCGGGGTGGTCTAGTGTATGCGGCGTTGGCGTGGTGCGGTGGCAGTGTAGACTGTAGCGTAGTCACTGTACATCGTAGCTGTGGTGGAAATCATACACTCTCTCATTTAACTGTCCACATAGCCCCTAGAGACTCCGTACAGATAGAAGACGTGTCTATGGCTGGCAAGGCACACCCCATGTACGTCCAGGTAGCAGAGACGAACACACGCCATTTTCAGAAACCAAGTCGTTGATGGACCTCTCTGTACGGAGAGAGCACTCTGGGCTTGAATGCTAGGTATCTCAGACGGCGATGTAGCTACATTTCACGCCCCATTGGCATTGAGTGCATGTTTTACACAATCAAGCATACAGGCATACACATACCGGAACAGCACAGAACAGAACAGGGGAGAATCGGAACGATTAGGTAGAGCCAAGGAGAGCTTAATCAATCAATCAATCAATCGCTCAATCACTCTCGTCGTCGGTTCCAATCTCGACGTTCCCGTCGGGCAGCAGGCCTACCCGCCCTCCTGAGCGACCGTTCACTAGTCTCGAGTCGTAGATATCGTCGTCATCGTCGGCGTCGTGATGAGCAGCTTCATCGTCCTCATCATCTTGCTCTTCGTCTTCATCGTCCTCCCCGTCGTCATCGTCATCTTCCTCGTCATCTTCCACTTCCTCTTCGTCCTGCTCATCATCGTCCTCTGCGCCGGTGTCGCCTTCCTCGAGATCTGCCTCTCTGTCTTCATCCACCAACTGTACCTCTTCTTCCTTTTGGGTTGCATCATAAGGCTTCGTCTTCCCCTTACCGTTCCGCACGACTACCGAAATCCCGCCCTGTTCTTTACTTTTCCTCTTCCCTTTCGCCTTCTCGGGACGTGGGACCGGTGGTTCACTGGTTGTTGTCCCGTTGAGCTGCTGTTCCAACATCCTCTCCTCTTCGTCCTCTTCTTCGGCGCTCATCCGCCTGATCTTCTTGTTACTTGGTTCACCCTTGTCTTCTTCCACCTCCCCGTCGTCGCCCTCCGCACCGCCAGACTCCCTAGCTTTAAGTTTCTCCTTATACCCCCTTCTTTTCCTTCCTATAATCTCCTCATAGGCCTCCACTTCCCGCTCCAGCCTTCCGCCGGTCCTGCCATCCTTCCCCACCACTCCAAGGTCCATCACGTGCCCAAATTCAATCTCCCTCAAGGCAGCCATGACGTCCTGCACGGCTAGTGTTTTCTTATGTCGTAGTTGCGACTGTTCATTTGCGTGGTGGGCGAGGTAGGAGATGAAGACGGTGGCGGAGCGGGTTAAGGCGAGAATGGCGTCTTTTTGCAGGGAGGTGTTCGCAGGGAGGACACCTCGAGAGAGGCGGGATATGAGAGAGCGGGGAAGAAGGAGATCCTGCGTCAACAAAAGACACTGTCAGTCTAAACTCAATGACTCTGTTTTCCATGACACCCCGGGCGCGGGGCTGGTTGCTCTGGATCTAAGCGCCTCTCGCGCAGTCTGGAATGCGACGCCAAGGACGAACGTACATCAATTCCCACGCCATCATCTTGCCTTCCTCCTGATTGCCTCGACGATTTCGCATGCGCGTGCTGTATAGAAGATGAAGCCGTAGCGTTCGTTGCATTGGACAGTATGGAGACGTCGCCGTTAGCCTCTGGCGCGGAAGCTATCGAGGCGCCGCTTTTTCGTGGCGGCATATCTGGGGCTAGACAGATAGATACGTTGGGGGTGGACAAAAGGCGCAAGAGGGCGGACAACAAGGCGCGGCAGAGAAGAGACTGCCGTGACTCTCCCGTCCTAATACGGGAAGAATGTGAGGCTGGTGAGGCGTGTTGTTTCGAGTCGGGCGAAGTGCGCTCAATGCCCGCTCTGGTCCGTGCGGTTGCACCACAGGGACTGGTGGGCTGGGCTGTCTGTTCAATCCGGCCTCAATTGCGGGAACCTAGTTCCCGGAAGATGAAAATTTGTCGACCAAGGGGCCCAACCTCTTCAATCCGTTTGAATAGTTCCACCTAGGTGTCTTTGGATACGTGGATGAGGGGTGACGCAGGAGCAAGTACGAGGTAGCAAGGACAAAAGTCCTGGAAAGTAGAGCGACCACGATACCTCCAATTTAGAAGAGGAAATGTTCCGAAATGATGGCGTGTCTCCACTACCTGTCATGGATGGGGGACGTTCGTGCAAAGGAAGGCGTACCTAAATATTGAAATGTCGCGAATTCAAAAGGTCCATACTCAATCGGAAAAAGGGTGTTGAGACAGACGCGGTCAAATGGCCCAGAACGCGACCCGCACAATGTTTGTGGGCGCGAGGGAATCTTGCGACTAGGGTGCCTCAGCTCAGCCTCACCAGCCTGGGCCACACGAGCCTCGGGTTGCACAGCCTTGCGATCCTCACAGGATATCATCCTGTCCTTCCGATACAAACGCCATAAAACACCTCATACGCTCATCAGATTCATGATTCGATCTGCATAGCATCATCTCCCTTCCCATCCTCCGTATCGTTTCCCCAAAGCCCCTCTAACTTGAACTCCGCCGCCCACTCTGTGACAATCTGCTTTCGATCGACGCCGGTGGGCATCTCCCTACCGCTGTCCGCGCCCAGGCCCTCGACCATCTCCTCATCGTCGGCGACTTTCAGCACCGGCGGTTCCACCCAACCCTGTATCCTACCATCTCTCCAATCTGTGATCACCGCCATCGCCGCTGAGTTCAAGTTGGGCACCCCGCCTTTGCCTAACCTGCCTCGTTTCCTTGCGACTTGGACCAGAAAATCAGTTGTTTCGTCTCCCCGTGCAAAGGGCCCTAGTGCGACGATGCCATAATATTTCAGGAGTTTCTCGTACAGAGCCTCGGACGTTGAAAGTCTTTCAAGCAGAAGATTCACTGCCGGAATAGGATCCGAGATCTGACTCGGCGGCAGCGCATTCAGAAGAATTAGCCGCGCCTCATGCTCTGCTTTTCTTCGCTGTCTGTCCTCTTTCCCTTCTCCATCCACCGTCGAAGGAAACACGATTCCTGGCGAATCGAGGATTTTCAGTTTGCTGTCAATCTTTACTTCTCTCAAGCTTGTCGTGACACCGGCCTCGGAGCCAACTGGGCACGCGAAGCTTTGGACACCCTTATTCAGCCGGGAGGTTAAGGCGTTTATGACGGACGATTTGCCCACGTTCGGGTATCCTATCACTCCAACGGAGATGGATCGTTTGAGTTGTTTGGAAGCGGCGTATGATTTTAGCGAACGGAGCAGCGTCTCCGAGGTGGCTTTCAGCGTGAGTTGCTTGTGGTCGAAGGTCTGAGCGTTGGATGCCGGTGTCGATGCTCTGAGTGGTATCGTGGGAAAATATCGCCGTAAATGGGTCAGCCAGCCTTTCAAGACGGACGGAGGAATCAGATCAATCTTGTTCAACACGAGGATCAGTCGTTTCGAACCGCCCTCTGAAGCCATGACCTGTCGTTCGACTTCTCTGGATCTCGTGCCTTCGGGATCTCTCGCGTCCAGGACGTAGAGTATCACATCCGCAGCGTCAAGGACTTGTTTGAAGATTTTGTCAAATGCTCTCCGTGATGAATCCGGGTTTCGGTGGTCTGGGGCGATGGTCTCCGAAATCTGAATTCCCTCCGAGACGGCTTCATCCTCTGCAGGAGATCCGATGTCGCCTGCTAGTGCCCCGCCGTCGTACTCAGCAGCTCTCGCTTGCGCTGACGCCACCAGAGCTGCTAGAGGGTTTGTACTGTCATTGGCGTTATCGTCGTACTCATCATCCATATCATCGTCAAGGAGCTCGTCCTCTTCTTCCATTAGATCATCCTCGTCCTCAATGGCTTCTCTCGTGGGCGCATTTTTTCCGGCCCTCTTCTTCTCCTTGGCCGCGTCTTTCAACCTCTGTCCCTGCTCCGCTTTTTGCCGTTTCTTCTCTTCAAGCTCCTCAAGGATCTTCTCTTTGTACGGAAACAGGTTTGGGATGCCGGGATCTTTCTTTAGCCGTGACTTCCATTGGGGATTCTGTTGACCCTAGGTCAGGAAATGCAGATTGCGAAATTGGAGACACCAGCAAACCTTTTTTGCTTCTTTCCGTAATTTTCTCTGTTTCGCCGCACTGGCTTTTTCGATTTTGTGCCGCAGCCGCACGGGCGTGCGCTTTGATCGGGAAACTGAATGAGGTCAGCTGAAGACAATCCGGAGACCGAGGTTGGCTTACATGACTTGACCATCACTAGGGAAGATGTTCGCATCAAACCTTTCACGACTGGAAACTTGGGCCCATGAATCCGATGTGGAAAAAAGGTAAAGACCGCAGTCTACGCCAAGATTTTCTCCGGTCCATCTTCAACCCGACACCGAACATCACTAATGGGAGCCTATTATCATCAGCGAGGGTGCTACTCGGGCGAGTAACGTGGGATGGTATCCCTCACCGCCCTGGTTGGTCGGGATGAGTCCCAATGAAGCAATGCTGCCGATATAGCAGAAACGCTGAGAAACTCCATTGCCCCATCTCACACTAGATTTTCTCAAGTGTATATATGGAGAGGGCACGTAACATGTGCACGCGCAGAAGAATAGACGTATAGATTTCCCTGTCATCCATTTCTGCCAACTACCTCTCGTTCATTTTCCTTGTATACACGGGTTCGGTCAGAATAGACATTCGCAATGGGCTCAGTTGAACAACCAAATTTTTCCGCGCCACCCGAGATCGCCTTGGCCAGAGGTCTCCTTTTAGATTTTGATGGTATGCACGTGGTACTAGATTCGCAAGGGACTGCAGCTAAGCAAATCCACAGGAACAATCATCGACAGCACAGCGGCCATTATCAAGCACTGGCACAAGCAAGGGGAAATCATGGGCGTTGATCCCAACGTTATCCTCGCCAGCTCGCATGGAAGGAGAAGCATCGATGTAATCAAGATGTACGACCCATCTAAGGCGAATTGGGAATGTAAGCACCATCTCTTGGCGCCTGAAGATTATACATGCCATCTGCTTCAATTTTGGTGGTTGCAAACTGACGATTCGAATCCAGACATAATCCATCAAGAGAGCCTCATCCCAAAAGAATTCGGTCAAGACGCGGAGGAGATCCCTGGGGCCCGCAAACTTCTGGCAACCCTTGACGACGCCAACGTGCCCTGGGCGGTGGTCACTTCGGGTACGAGGGGCCTCGTGACTGGCTGGATTGAGGTTTTGAGGCTCGCGCACCCGCGCACGATCGTTGTGGCAGAGGATGTCGAGAACGGCAAACCGGATCCCACTTGTTATTTGCTCGGCCGAAGGCGCTTGAGACTCCCCGAAAATGCCGAGATGATCGTCTTCGAAGACGCTCCAGCAGGAGTCCGCGCGGGAAAAGCGGCCGGATTCAAAGTCATAGCACTTTCCACTACCCACACTGTTGGACAGCTGAAAGAAGCCGGAGCTGATTGGATCGTGGAAGATCTGAGAAGTGTGAAACTCAAGAACTTCAAAGATGGGGTCATAGAGGTCGAGATCATCAATGGGCTTGTCGATGCCTCCTGACAAGTAAACTGCATTCCCAATGCCGCTCCAGTTGCTGCGAAGAGTGCCGGGGGGGAGGTTTCTTTTTTTTTTTTTTTTTTTTTTTCCCTCTTTTCCCAGCGCGGCGTTTGGAGTTTCGGTATCTGGAGCTGGTGGAATGGAGAGCTTAGGTACAGGTTTGTCAATAGAGGACAGACAACAGACAGGGTGGCTCGGTGGTTATATCAGCCAACGAAGCTTGCTTTAGACTTGCTCAAGCGCAACTCTGACATAGATCCGGATCATTCAGACAGAGAACAAGTCACGCTCTGCCGGAATTCCGGCACCTAGGTAGAAGTGCTGTTCATGAAAGGGATATCAATCCGTTCATTCGGGTAATGGCTTGTGCACCTGTCCGAGAACATTGCGCAGCACCAATATTGAAAGATATCCATGACTGCTCCCATAGACTGCCAGTGCATCCGACGTAAGGGTTTCGTAGGGCAGAATACCCCATCTGATGCCCAAGTCAAACCCAGATCATTGCAGTTATTACAGCGCAGTCAACGCAGCTGTGGGGTCGAACATACCCGCGCATAGCCTCCAACAGCGAGTCCAATGCATGTTTGGAATAGTCGCCTACCTCTGTGCATACGTACCTGTCGGTAAGACCAGCTGCTCTGTTTCTCTAACGAAACAATCTGCAGTGAGGCGTGGTGGTGTAGCAGTCAACGGACACAATTGTCACGTCAACGCTTCTCTCGAAACCCAGCCGAGTCTGTGAACTACAACATGAGTCTAGCCTAGTCAATGAATGCCATCGCCCGAAATCGAGAATGGGTGACCAGTTGTGCTCGTGAGGATAATGTAGACGCAACATGACAAGTTTGGTGCAGTCTACATCTCGGCGTGGCTGGTTGTTCTCATCCTGCTCATTACATTGGCCACCAAAGGTACAGGCCCATGAGTGCAGCGGGGTGGAAAAGCGTGTCATGATCTTCAGTGTTCGGATGGCCACAGCGGTGAGCAAGACACATCGTGGGAGAGGAGTGCGCCGCATCGAAGCAAAAGCGTATGGTCGGACAGGTAGCACTAGTAGAATCCTGAAGATCAGAAAGGGCCCAGCCATTGCTAGTACGGTCTGGAAGCCTGGGTCTGGAGTTGACACTGCACTTTTACGGTGTCAGCACGGAGCCAGGTATTTGTGCGTCGGGGACTCGGTAGTATCGTGCAGCTGACCTGGCGCTCAGAGAAGAATTGTTCAGCAGCGGCAAGGTTACACAACTGGAAATGCCAAAACTTCATGATCGATGATTCCACGACCCGCGGAAGGACATTTTCCATATCCACCGTGATACTATTCCGATATCTTGAAGGGCCAAGAGAACTATTTTCGTCCTTGGGCCCCGGATCAACAAGCACTCAGCATTGAGAGCGAGCATGCAAGTTGAAGGAAGTCGTCATTGTCGGCCGACGATAGCAAGGGAAAAGCCATGGAGCCACATCTTCAGGAGCCACGCCCTAGTATGGCGTCGAAGTGCAACGTGGAAAGCGGATTGGCTCTGGCGAGGACGGGAGGAAAATTAAACAAAGTCGGGGCGAGACACCTAGGGCCGGGAAGACCTGAACGCAAAGAGAATAAGGCTCGGTTAATGGGCTAAAGCCCGACTGGCAACCTTGTACAGTATGTACGGCTCACCAAGCGAGAAGCCCGGAAGATTTCTTGATGAGCGCGGAGAATAACTGATACCCATCGCCTAAATTAGCCTCGGACACAACATTGTCTAGGAAAGTCTTGACAGAGAGCCGAAGGGGCTTGGACCACCGAGATCAGAAGGGAGTCTCGCATATTACAGGCGAGGTTGGCAAGGAAAGAAGTACTTCGGAACAAAGTGGTGGAAGCTCTGAGTAAGGCTGACGGATTATATTCCTGGTGAGTTGGGCGTCCGTGGACGAAGGCCGAAGGTAAGGCTAGCCCAGTTGCAGCGATGCGAGATTGCTGTCTTTGATTTTGTGCTCGCGGCGGTCGAGTTCCAAGTCCCAGGTTCCTTGCATATGTCAGCATGTCGCCAAGCGCCACCAGGGCTGGGTTTCAAGGCTGAACAGCAACAAAGGGATAACATTTGTGCCGCAATCATGTATCACACGTGTAGGCTTTGAATCAGCAGTCGAGACGATGCCTCAAGGAAGGACCCCCTGCATAAGGTCAATCTCCTCTCACGGCGAGTGAGGGAGTGGTCTGTCGATTTTGCTCTTGTCGCGCGTCTGGAGGATGATGTGTAAGAGGACCAGATGGGTGCATATCTGCCTGAGCGTGTAACGGCAAAGTCTGAGTGGTGCAGTGGGTGTGGCTCGTGATGCAAGACGCGTGATAGGAGATGCGGCCACGGCGGCCACTGAGTGGATGACGAGCGGCGGGCCTCGGCTGGTAGGTTCACCTGGGCAGAAGGGCGGATTGGGCTTTCAGCTGCCCTCTGTTGCCGTGGGATCCTCCGCCACAGCTGCAGGTACAGATTGTGTTGTGCATCTCTCATTACGGAGCACAGCGACCCAGCTTGAGTCAAGATGGACCAATATCCAAGCGCTCGGGAAAGGGGGAATCTGTGTACCCAGTATCTTGACCGAAGACCGCCATCCTTTTTGAAGGATGATCGTCCAGGATTTGCGTGTCTACTCTTCCCATCATGGGATACCTGAACAGAGGTGTATGTTCCGAGTGCTCGTCATCAGGCGTTCCGGAGAGATATGGGCTAGCTATCGAGGTCTCTGCAAAAGGCCATCGAAGGTCTTCGATAATGCCCTGGCGAGGCGCCCGGTGTGCATGCAATCGATATCTCCTGGTCGCATGTTATGGTTCACTTTGCCAGGAGGCACAAGGAACTGAACGACCCGATGGAGACGGTGGACTCAGGGCGCCCACACTGATTGTCTCCCCCCTTTCTCTTCGCCAGAGTTCCGAACTCCTTAACAGGCGACTGGCATGTCATGCATTGACAGATCTTGTCTCTTGGACGCGTTCGACCCTTGTGCATAGGCGAAATCAAAAGCGAATGGTCAGACGAAATCCGATGACCCTAAGCAGAGGCTCTTTAGGATTTGTTCTTTGGCAGGCTTCTACTCATACTTCGCCCTGAGCATGGCCACATCTCATTTCGGCTCATCTCCCTCTGAACGCCTTGTCAACAAGGGTTTCGAGAGGTTTCGGGTCTCTGACTGGAAGGGTGCCTCCACAACCTTCCTCGTTTGGTGTATGACTGTGGCACAAGAGGCTCGGGGGCTGAGACCTGCGCAGAATAAGTTAGATCGGATGAAAAAGTTGGCCTGTAAGGGGCCAGGGTGTTTGAAGAGCGAGTTGTGCCTAACTCAAAGGGCCGGCCGGGGTGGAGATGGGTCACTTAGCGTGCCCTCAAATTGCTGCCGCACACTGGCTGACTCCAAGCATGGGGATTCCTTGTCGTCCATACCAAGACTCGATACTGTTCCTGCATTGGCGCCGACCTCGATGGACCAGGGATCTGTGTCAACGTTCCCCTTCCGCGGTGCGAGGTGCAACCATTAAAAGTCAGTGCGGGTTGAGAATAGAGCAGAGAAGCAAATCAAAGCGATGGAGAAGGGATTGAGAGGTAGAAGCGCGGGAGGGAGTGACGAGAAGCAAGCTGGTGGACTGACTGTGCACGTCCTTACTTAGGTCGTGGAGGAACAGATGAAGGAGGGCAGGGAAATGGGGGGTTGCAGTTTGGTGCAGTTGGTGCAGTCTGTAGTCGCTTGTCTGACGTGGTTTCAGTGGCGGGTGAAGTGACTGCCTGACTGGTCCCTTTCCCGAGGGCGCTTCGTTCCGGTACATCTGGCGGGCGCTCTGCTTGTAGGTGCCTCTTTACAGGCCTTTCACTGACCTTCTGCTTCCTTTTCCCAGCGCCTATTTTGTGCCTCTCCATCAAACCGCACAAGCTGTAACTCTCGAGTATGCCTAACTTTGACGCTGGTAGAGGTCGCCCGCAGCCATGACGGCCGAGAGCTAGCCTGGACCTCCACCCGCCCATTGGGTTCCGCAGTGGCTGACTGGCTCAACTGGCTCGTCTCCGCTTCATGGATCCCCTGGCGCCCCTGTCGTCGCTGTCGTCTAGCCTGACGGCTGCTGGTTCCTCCACTACGATGCTCTGCAGTGGAGAACTGGACTTGCTGGAACTCTTGTTGTCCCTGCAAGAAAGTGAGTCCTACGCCCTCAGAGATCCCACATCGCGATTGATCAAAAGATCCAGAGCGCGCTCTCGATGGTCACAGACACCAGGTATTTTGTTTTTTTTCCCCCAAAAGGTATTGTTGGGTCTAGTGGAAGGGCCATCAACATCAAGACCTTCTCTTCTATTGCTCCAGCTATTTCTCCGTGTCACTGTGCCCTCACCACCTCACTGACCTTCAAAACGCCCCTTCGGCGCCTTGATTCAAAATTTCCCATCTCCCCCAGTCTTGGAACCTCGTCAAAGGGTGCTACATCCCTCCCGCCTGATCCCTCGCGACTGCCGCCTCTAAATCTAAAAATCCCCGAGCCTGCCCACTTCGCACCTACCTTGCTCCTCTTGGTCTACTTCTATCGAGGTTATCTATCGACTGCTCCATCGTCTGCTTCTGTGCCACTACTGCTGGACTGCCTCAGCCCTCTACTGCGTCGCTCCTCTTGACAGCAGCCTTCAACTCGAGCAGCTGCTCGCGACATCGTCCTCATTCCCTCCCTCGTACATCCTCACCGATCTGTTCCTTCTCTCTCACCCGCTGGGGACAGACCTCACTTCCTTCCCGCGCTCTCTCACCTTCAGTCGCTCCTTACCTTCTCAGACAGTCCGATTTTGCTACCGATGCGAGATCTGGACAATACTTCGACGCTAACGACTTGACCCTATGCTTGCCTATGGAAATGCTGCATGTCTGATCCTTACCATCTCGATCCTACTACTACACACGTACTAGCAGATCTTTCTTTTGCTCGCGGACGAGAAACCTACCTCAAGGAAAGCTGCTGCAGCTTTGCAACCCAAGCAGACAATACTCAATTTGCTGCCCAAGAAGCCGCCCAACGAAATCCAGCCTCAGCCTATCAATCCCCTCCAGTGTCCAAGATGGACTACATGCAACAAAATGCTTTTGCATTTGCTTCTCAGCCTCAGCCACAATTCCTCTACCAACCAGTCCAATATCCCACCTTCGTGACCCACGGCCGGCAGCCAGTTGATGATTTCTATATGGCCTACACCGGAGCTGAGTACGCTGACTTCATGGATGCGGGGATGATGCACGATGAGTTCGGAGAGACCCAGGAGATCTCGACACGACCAAGACTCACCAAGGAACAAGCTGAGATCCTCGAAGCCCACTTTCAGGCGAATCACAAACCCAGCTCCCAACTGAAGAGGGAATTAGCGATCCAAACAAACTTGAAACTCACGCGGGTCGGGGTACGTGTTGATTATGTTGCCGTGGATGGGAACGTGTCAGCTAACTGGTAAACAGAACTGGTTTCAGAATCGACGGGCAAAGGCAAAGCAGCAGAAGAGACAGGAAGAATACGAAGCCCAGCATGCAGCAGCCAAGACTGGATCGAAAGAGCCAAGAGGCCTCGATTTGTCGGAAGGCTCAGCACTAGAACCTACCTCTCCCAGATCGTCTGTTGCTTCACCCACGAAGAAGACAAGCAGGAATTCAACCTCGGTAACGATTTCGACCGGCCAGACACCAACTTCGCCCGTTAAAGTTGTCGAAGACTCCAAGGAGGCAAGCTGGAACTCTTTGCAACGTGCTTTAGGACAGGCTAAAGCAGCACAAGGTCAGCAGACAGCCCAAGCTCAATCTACTATGTCATCTCTGGAAATCCCTCCACAGAATGCAGCTATGCAGCTTCCCCTTCGACTATACGACCATCAGCCGACTTCGTCGACATCTAGTTTGCCAACCTGGCCAAATCAACCTGCTGGTGCCGTCCCTCATCCCTCGCCGATCACGCTTCAGGACACATCCTTCGATTTTGGCTTCGACGATGAGGTTGCGGAACAGAATTCAAGTCAAGACCCAATTACCATGAATACAGTAGTGGATTACGGGCAAGACTCCTTTGTGGTGACACCCGAAGAATTCCGGGAGCCTCTTGCTACTCCCAAAGGCATACCCAGTCATCAGAGCCCCTTGACGACATTGCCCTCTCCTGGCTTGACTATGCCTTCGTATCCTGGTTCGCGGCGGCCGTCAACCACAGAGGATCTTTCAACCAATTTTAGCAACTTTGCCCTCGCAAGCAGTTCACCCAACTTGCTCGCAAACCGGCGGGCGTCAGAGGTAATTTGTCCTCCACCAAGTGGTCCCCTCGATATCGCTGCCCGAAGAAAGCGACCTCGACCCGCTGCCCTGACCTCGGCGTCGCTTCGAAGTCGCTCCTATGGAGCACTGACGTCGGCTTCCCCGACATTCCGCCAGGGCCTCATGAGTCCTCAAGGACCACATAGTGTTCGACACGTCAAATCGGCGGGTCAAAGCCTTCATTCGCGATATGCAGGAATTCGGAAAGCCAGTTCGGCTCAGAAGTCGCCCATGTGTGCCTCAACTTTTGCCGAAGCAGAGACCTTGAACCAACTAATGGCCCAGCAAGCAATTGCAACGACGCCGCTGGGAGAATTGCCAGAACCATTGTTGTCACCGGGCCACGTCTCAAGCGGCTACATGCTAGATCCGGAAAAGAATCCATTCTTTGCACAAGCCATTGACATGCCCAGCCAGTATACCATGCGACCACCCCAAAACCTCTCGATCACAACAGGGTCACCTCCAGTGACGCCGATGATGGCAGCCTTCATGAGCAGAGCCCAGTCGCAACAATCTCTCATTCCTCCTCCCTCTGCTCCTCAATTTGCGGCATTCACCGACTACACACCTCCTTACTCAGCTGGTCCGCTTACCAACAGCAGCTGGTCAGATGCTCCCTTGACATCGCCGGAGATTTCTTCGTTTCCTGTCACACAATTTCCATCCCTCGGGTTTCCACATCAGTGTGATGGCCTCAATGGCCAATTTCAACAATATGTTCTACCTTCCGACAATACATCTGAGGTGGACTTTGTTTCTCATGTCGATAAGAAGAAAACAGAATTTTACATCCAAGAGTTTCCAAATCAAAAAGAGGAACTTGCACATGTTGCTCAACAACTTGCTCAGCAAAAGCCCAAAAATTACGTGTTTGCGAATACTGCTCCTCAGGACTACACCAACACCTAGATGCGTGGGTCCGGTCTCGTTTCAGTGCCTGTATTCGCATATGAATTTTGATTTCATTATTATGAGCGTATTACTACCTCTCTTGGCGGCATGTTATTGTTTCAACTGGTATAAGCAGGATGGATGAAAACACATGAAAGATAGACTTGAAAGTTTTAGCAATGGCGTGGAAGGGCCAACCAATGTTACAAGGGGACATGTCTACTATAAGACGTGATAGAAGCACGGGTATAATGGTATGAGGCACCTACGGGAAATGACCATGAGAATCGCCTCGGGAATATGAATTGAAATGGCTAAAACGGACGGGAATATATCGTCATTTTGCAATCTACCCTCATAATACGTATCTACTTGTTAACGCTCGTAGCTCATTTGCACACTCCCTTTTTTGACAACATTCAAGATACAGAAGTGAAGTGTAAAGCAGGATGCATTTGTTGAACAGTTAATCAAGGCCAAAAGTCACAAACGGCAAATGGTACAAATCCGTCTCGATGGAGCTTTATTCTGACTACTGCCTGATTGGGAGAAACACCACTGGAGTAACAGGTAACAGTAGCCAGATCAGCTCATCTTTTCTGCTATCCAGATGAACCATCACTCCACATACCACCCACTTTCAGGCTCTTCCATTGACTCTTACCCATTCCGTTCACTCTGATCAACCCTGCAGCTTATTCTCCCTTTCCCATTTCCCATTCCTGTTCTCTCTCGTTTGTACTCTCTAAGAAGAAGAGTCCTGATTCATCTTCAAGCGCTGATCAGGCTCGCCATCCTTCCTGAGCCCCTCGCCGCCCAAGTGCGCGGCGCCCTGGGGATTGTCACTGCCACCAGCGCTGGAGGAGTCCGAGGAGCCGGTGCCACTGGTCTGGCCACCCTTCTTGCCAGCCTCGTGCGGGTCAACTTTGCCGTACGCGAAGCCTTGCTGGTTGACGCGCTGGTCGGGCTGGCCGTCTTTGCGAAGGCCATCGTGTTCTGCGTGCGGGAGAGGAGGGTCAGTGTTCTATGTGCTAAAAACAGACGGGTTTGGGGGAGGCGGAGAAAGGGTGGGTGGAGAGACAAATGACTCATAGACGTGGATCGATGGATGGATAACTGAGCTGGGTACGGATAAAGGCAAGGGGGCGGTATAGCCAGGGCTAAGTACGGAGGGGAGAGAGTGTGTGTGTGATTGTTTCTCTGTTAGTGGGAAGCGCATGGCAGGGGAAGTCGTACCAGTTGGCTTGTAGTCAGACATGTTGATGGGTAGTTCGGTTTGGTTTTGAGATGTGTGTGCTTTGTGGTCTCTGAGTCTTTGTTCGTGATGAGTGATGGTGGTAGATGAAGCGTGATGAAGAAGTGCTTCTCAACGGAGGAAAGTGGCCGTTTTTATAGACAGATGTCTTCTTCTCGTCCACACTTTATCTGCTCAGCCAGGTGCATCATGATGGCCCTGCTTCAAAACATGCTCCGAGTATATGGTGACGTCGATGATTTCTTCCCTCGTCTTCTGCTTGAACCGTGCCTTTTGGCTACCATCGATCTCATCACCGTTTTCAGCTTGTCCATGTCTGAACGTGTCTGGCTTTGTGTTCTGATGAATCATCATCTTCCTTGTTTCTAGCATGTGCCCGTGGTGACTCTGCTAATGCATCGCTAGTGCCTGCTTTCGTGCAGATCGATCTTCGATCGGGACAAAGCGCAGCATCAGTTTAGCTGCTAGATTAATGGCACTTCAATCAGACCTCTCAGGTCGTGACGAGGAGATTGGTTGCTCACGGGGCCAGACCGCCAGATCCGAGACGTTAGTGCGATCTGGCAATGGAGAGTCATGGTCGAAATGGAGCTAGCCATCTGCCAGCAACAAGGCACTCCAGGACCTGGAGGCAACATGGGGACGGAAACACTCCCCCGCTCCCTAGAATGAGATAGGTCAAAGAACAACAAGACGTCATGATGTTGTGCTATCACAATGTGGAGTTGGACAGCCCCGGCAGCCCAGAAACGCAGAGCTGCAAGGATCGTGATGTACCAAGTAGAAACGAGATGTTTTCCTGAGAAATGAGCAAAGCTCCAACAAGAATTCACACCATGAAACTTTTCCATAGGGTCGTGCACTTTTGCTTCGAAAGCACAAAGGCCTCCTGCAGAAGGCGCCACTAAAACTTCCACCGCCATATATGGTAGCTGCAGGGAGGTGCACCAAGCCTGGGGAGGGCGGCTGCATCAACAGCTGACTCAATGGTGTACTCCTAAGACCGTAGGGACATCAGAGATAGCCAGCTGCTGGAAAGTAAGTGGATTGACACGTCCCATGACATTGGGAATCGCCTAGGTACGATGCACCAGCAGAGGTGAGGCTACCTAGTTCCCATCACGGTGAACTGTGATTCGCTCACAGGATCATACTGAGTGGTGGATCAACCTCAAGGGCAGCCGGAGATCGGCAGGATGAGAGTGAAGTTTCTGACTGTCGACTGCTGGCCCGTGCTTGAGAAGAATCGTGCGTTGTGTGGATGGGAATGCTGGAAGCTGAAAAAGTCATGACGCGAGGACGGAAAGCTAATCACACAACACGAAAAGGGGGAAGCTCGAAGCTGCTCAGCCTCGTCGTCAGAACCCAGGGCTTTGGCGGAGACTTGGTTGTGCACGACGTCAGCGGTGCACGGCTAAGTTTCCTCGGCTAGTACATAACCAGACTCAACTTCAGCTTTGTAACAGCCGGAGCCGATCAGGCTGACCAGCCCCTTGTGCAACGGTCCTCAGTACCATTTTCAGTCCTCCTTTACTCTTGTGTACGGACCTCGCCGTGATCTTCTTGATTGATACAGACGATACTAGTACAAACACGACGAATGGGGGATCTAGGTTAAGTTGATGACGTGACCGGCCATGCTGGTGCTTCGAGGCACCCTCTCATCGATGGTGATTTCATCCATGACCCGTGCTACTATGGAGGCCAGATCCGATTTCCAGCCGGGCCAAGGGTAAATGGGTCAGTATCCCATATCTGTCCATTCCTGGGTGCCCTTGTCCTTCTCGGGGCTTCGTCACGCGCAAGGGGAGAGGTCCACCCTAGCGTTCGGGTTTGGAGGTCTCTCTCTCGGAGGCGGTTCCGTGCCTCACGAGGGGCGTCTCCAGTCGGTGGGAAGGTGACGACGAGGTTTCGGATACCCCGGAGGATAACTGCTGGCTCAACCATTCGCAGGTAAAAGGCCCACTCCTTGTCCTCGCAGGGTGTGACAAATCCATCGTCCTGGTTGGCGAAGGCAATGCAGAGGGTGAGGTCGAGGTAGGCAAGAGGCAGGTGTCTTTGGATGAATCTGAGAGTGTCTGTCCAGTTTGGAAGTGATGGGGTCCCCGGACAAAGGCTGTCGTCATGAAAGGTGGGAAAGATGATCCGAAGGGAGTAGATATGTGACAAGGCGTCATGCGGCATCGACTGTAGGAAGACAAGAGCTGATCGATGCTCGAGGCGGCGTGATATGTCCCGATCCCAGCGGGCGTCAAGTGTCTCGACTGAGAATGTGTTGGAGCGGTAGAAGATCTGGAGGGCCAGAAGCCGAAACTTGTGGTTGACTAGGAAGTGGTCTCGAGGCCACTGCCAACATGTACACCGCCCAGATGTGAAGGCCGCGTGGAGCGGAGGGCAACAGTACGCCTCTAATGTTGCGGTGCACTGCTGGCAGCAGGATGGCTTGGTAATGCCCTTCCCCTCCACCCATTCAATGGTCCTAGGTGTGATAACTGGGGGAGAATCTGTATTTGGAGTTTGGAGTTCATCAGGGAGGTCGTCCCACTGAAAGGCGGTCTGGGGTGGGCGAAGCTGGCCTGTAACCTGGTGAACGGTGGTTTGGGCTAGGCGCCGAAGATGGTGGTCAGACTGCTGGCCGAGCCGGACGGCACAGCTCCTGAGGAGCGGTAATCTCTCCAGCGGCAGGAGAACCTGTAGGGCCGCGGCATGGTCGAGTGTATCACAGACAACGCTCAGTCGGAGTCGACCAGGCGTTAATTGTGCAGCGAGGACGAGGACGAGTCTTTCCCACTCTTGTGGAAGAGACCGCATGCTGGGATCGTGGGAGGAGAAGGGGGAGACGACTCCACATTTACAGCCGAGGTGACAGAAAAGGCACGGATAGGTCAGTAGGTTGGGCTCGTGGGGAGAGCAAGTATGGCCCAACACACAGCCACAGGCGGTGAGTCCAATATGAAGGCTGGTCATGACGCCCAGTGCCTTGGGGCTGAGCTGCGATAGGGCCTTGAGGCCACCCGGGCCACAGCGGGAGATTTGGAACTGATTTTCGACATAGAGGATTGCCACCACCTCGATATGGATGGCGCGACACACCGAGAGTAGGCCCCGGGGATGAGGGTCACAGACGCAGTCTATCCCACCTGGCCCAGGGAATAGCGCATGACCCTGAAATCGCTTGGATCGGTAGAAACAGCTATACCCAGCGAGTAAGTCCGCGGTGGATATCGAGCAGTCGGAAGAACCATCGGCCGGCGGTCTCCAACTATCGTACGCCTCATCAAGGTAGTTGAAGCACCTTCGAGCGTACTCGACCTTTTGAGGGCCTCCGTGATCCAGGTCGATTGGGCAGAATCGGACGCGGCCAACAAGGACATAGATTCGACGGCGGATCAGAAATGGGAGGCCAAGAAAGGACGGAATTTTTGAGAGAAAGAAATGATAGAGGGGGGTTGAAGGGGGCGAGGTTGTGTGTCTTGCTAGAGCTTGAGAAGAGGAAGGTAAAGCAAGGCCTTACTCACCACCAAGCCCTCAAGATTAATCCTCATGAACGAAAAACTTCATTACCATATATTGCTTGATCTCAGAGGGTGAGCGAAGGCCGCTTCAACCCGAGCTTTAACTGAGCGATCAGCTGACCCTCGCCGAGCATTTACTGGGCAGCATTTGACGGACAAAGAGGGCCTCACCAGCCCAAGCTGGAACCCGAGTGATCGGCTACGCCTCTCGACCTGTCTCTCAGCCAGATGCCTGATTTAGACATGTCTGTTGCCCAATATCCTTTGTGCATCGAAGCCCAGTGCATTGTAATCGACACCCCAACACAGCGAAATACCCCGCCACCAAATCAGAGGTCCATTTTATGCATCGACTGCACATGGCGGAGATTTTCCAGAGTTTTCACAGCTTCGGGTGGGCCCGTCTCATGAAGTAGAAATGGAGGTCGACAACATGGGATACAATTTATTTGTAAACAAGATGAAAGAATGGATTCCGCCCTGAGCCGGGGGAAACGTGGAGAATTCGGTCGCCTATGATGACTGAAGAAATAACATGCTTGGTTCCTCCGAGGAACGGAGTACATTCACAATGGAAAACCACCAGGGCTTGATTCCGTGATCAATGATCATTTCTCAAATCATCACCGAAAACAGCCCGTCATGCGTCGGTAATCTGACCATGCCAGTATGTTAGCCACCAGAAATGCGACGTCTTGATCTCATCTACACAAGACTAATTGGGAATGGTCCCTCCCAAATCGACAACTAAGCCTACAATGGCAATTTTTGATTTTTCAACAAGCTTGCGTTGCAGAACTTGGAGGTAAACAATGCGAAGTTATAAAGACGAAGAAACCCAAGCTGCAAAATGGGCCAAACAGTCTCCCTTTGTCCTAAACGCAGAGATGAAAAGGCTAACACTCGCCCTCGGTCTGGCTGAAGTTGCCGTCTCTTTTGGCAGCCCTTTGGCCAGAGGCACGGTTTATCCGCGTCAATCCTTTCCTTCAGAGTTCAATCCTGACCCTCAATCCGGATTTGACGACCCTACCATTAATATCGCTGATCCATCCTTCGCTACTGCAATCCAAGCTGGATATCAAGGACCTTTTGCATCCTATGAGCAGCATGAACTGGTTGGGCCGGTGGACCTTCTTCGAAATGGCCATGTGAATTATGGAGTCAACCCGAATTTCACGCTGCCACTGTACAAGGGATTGTCGGCGGCAAACACCATGTATTGGTGGATTGTCACAGACACATCCGACGAAGGCAATGCCAAACAATTGGGGGTCAACTTCGCGCCCAAGCTTCGATTTGCAGCACAAGGCCAGACAAGTAACGGACTGAAGGGTGCTGAACAGCTTGAAATCGTCAACAATACCGTCGGTGGGCGGGAGGGAATGGTTGACTTTTCACCAGTGAGGTCAATTGTCCCTGGCGATCTATCACCTTTTCCTCCAAAGTCCGTGCAACCTGGCAGTGTTGGGGACAGCAAGTATACGCCACTCATCCAGTTAACAAATGCCGGATACGAAGTTTGGAATGCACCAGTAAGGCGTCCTAGACGATCTTTTGAAACGGTCGGGCTGATGCTTAGACAGATCATTGCTGGAGAGGTGGATGAGGAGTATTTGAACCAGGTAGGTCTTCCCCCTCACCGCGGGTCTTTGATGTTGCTGAGAAGTGCAAGTTCTGCGACGGGATTCCAAGCGATCTCCTTGCGGACTTTCGCAGCAAAGTCCACGATCAAGTTCTCTCAATCTGTCCTCGTGACCAAGTCGTGACGCTAGCAACCATTCGTGGTTTCTCATTCTCAAAATCCGTGCTGTATCTGATTGCTGATGGATCGGATCCCTTACCTGCAACGCTGGATGGTGGTACATACGCTCCCCGCCTTGCTGCGGTGCGCACCGGTGATGATGACGCATTGTTCAGCGGCATTGAGCGATTCTTTGTGAACACAAACGGATACACCAACCGCGACTTGCCACCTGGCGCACCGAACAATGAGACACATCATCCATGGCGACAAGGGTTGAACAGTGCCATTCTCGGAGACGGGAACCCGTTGAATATTCTTGGGGCCATTCCCACGGTGGCATATGGTAAGTCACCTTGAAGAGAGCAATTGTTTCCTGTCTCTGACGCTGCCGATAGATTACTCTCCCCTCTGGGACTTTAATCTGTTCACCTGGACGAATTACAGTATTGAAAATGGCATCCGAACCCGGCTGACGGGTGAATTCGAGGTCTTGGGCATGGCCGCTGCTGGCTATGTAACGAATCCTGATGGTACCCCATTGAGCGATGCCGGAATTGTGAATAACTGCCCTATTGTACATAGATTCCTTTAGTCTTAATTTTGACTGAGGCAACAACCATCATTACATATCAGAAATCAATATACTGTCTCTAATTCTACAGCTCAATTTAGTTCATGTTCATGTGTGGAAGCCGAACCAAGTGCCCATGGCCGTGCTCTTCTCGTATCCTCCGCCACAGATAGAACCCCTCCTATCATCCATGCAACTGCCGCACCGCCACTACTGCCGTTGTGCGTCTACGTTCGCCATGGTTTCGGCTGAGTTGAGAAAGTTGAAGATAGCTCCCGAGATGGTAAATTGAAAATGCCTAGATCGAGCATTAATCCTATTCGTGACATGCTGCTTACCTTTACCTCAGCAGGATCTCAACGCAGCAAAACACACTGGCTGGGCTGGCGAAGGAAGAGTGGACATCCAATTGAGACCATGTCCTGTACCTACTTCAATAAGCCTTTACCCGTTGCTTTTTGTCTCTGTGACGGCCGGGACTTCGGATTTCGTGGCCGGCCTTCAACCCGGCGCATTGCCTCGATTAGAGTGCTTCGCGAAATTGGACCGTGGCTGCGGCCGGTGGGTGGCCCTGTCCGGGTTCCCATGGTATAGGTGGAGGTACATAACTTCATACTAGCTACTGTTCATTCTAGAAGAAGAATACGAAGTACCAACTAAGAGCCGTAGGCCGATTGGAGAAACGGATACGCGTATAAAGTCTCGTTCTGACAGGGCAGCCCCTTCATAGGAAAGTCATTCGAAAAGCATCCACAGAGACGTGTAACCGAAACCGTCGCTTGTGGAGACACTAAATCCTTCGCACAGCCTCGTTCAGGGGGACACAGGGGAATCGGCCGGGCGATATCACTCGAAAGCAGATAACGACAATTTGCCCAGATTTTCGCAAGATGTGCCGGTTTGGGCAGAGTGTACGATGTTCTGGAGCTGGGAGATATCGTTCTAAATAAAGGCTTGAGAGGAAACCGGTCTCCTGTTGCAGAGTTGCCGCTGTGTAATTTCCCGACATTCTACTCGAGCACCGCCCCGACTACGCGGTACCAATGGCGATCATGCTCCCAATAGCAGCATAGGGTGTACCGGGCAGCCTCGTTGTCGTCAATCCAGAACGGCCGCACTCATGCGCAGCTTTGTCACTTCAGTGGCAGGATGTTTCATATCAAGTTGCTGTTGGCCCGCAACTCGCCAGGCAGCAACATTAAATAATTGTCTCCATCCGCTGGGTGAAGGGGTCACTAACGGACAGCTGCGAGTAGTGCAAATTATGTAGGAACGCGACCCACATCCTAAACATGAAAACTTCCGGGGAGAATTATGGATTGTTGTCGGAATCATATAAGGACGGACGTTGCTGCCACATGGGTATCCGGCCAAGATTCCAACAACATCTGCTGGAGCAAAGCCTTTTTTCAACGTCTGACGCCATGACCGATTCTCCCAATCCATACAAGACTTATGTCCCTTCGGTCCCCGCGGCTATCATTGCAGCAATCGTCTTTGGTGTGTTAACGATAGCACACACTTTCTTTCTGTTCAAGAAGAAACGATGGTCTTCGATCCCCATCATGATAGGAGGCCTCTGTAAGTTGAAGATCGAGCGCTGTTGGTGGTTCTTGCTGACTTTCGGCCGAGTTGAGGTGATTGGTTTCCTGGCTCGGGCAGACTCCCACTACCACCTCGACGAGAAAGGCCCATACATCGTCCAAACGCTTCTCATCTTCCTTGCGCCCATCCTCCTCGCAGCATCTGTCTATATGTTCTTAGGCCGCTTGATCATTGCCGCAGGCGGTCAAGCATACTCATTCATAAGAGTCAATTGGCTGACGAAGATCTTTGTCGCTGGCGACATAATCTGCTTCTTGGTCCAGGCCGGCGGAGCTTCAATTCTGGTCAATGCTACTTCCAAGTCCGCGGTCAACAACGCTCAAAACATCATTCTCTTTGGCTTGGTTTTGCAGATTCTCTTCTTCTTCTTATTTTTGTCGGTTGCAGTCGTTTGGCAAGTAAGAGTTCGTTCTCAGCCTCTCTGGAGAATCAGCATCGAGTCGGGCTTACCTTTGGCTCGCATGTTGTGGTCGCTGTACCTAGTTGGAGTCCTCATCACCGTGCGCAGCATCTATCGCTTGGCGGAATATAAAGGAGGTCAAGATGGCTATCTCATCACCCATGAGTGGCCAGCATATCTATTGGATGCGTTTCTGATGGCTATCGTCATGGCGGTTACTTTGGTTTGGTATTCCGTGGAGTTGAGCGGGAAGAAAGCGCAACAAGGCCTCCATCTCCGAGTAATGAGCGACGTCTGAAGACAACAGCGCCTGAAAGCAGGCGGCGGGGCAAATGGTTATGATGGCGGCAGACTGAAAAGGAAGAGGAGTGTGAACGTTTGCAGTCGAAAGATCTTTTGCGAACAAGAGAGCCATCGCGGCAAGGCACAGGCAGTTTGATGTGCTTTGCAAGGGCCGTCAGGACTGCGGCAGACATGAGACGAATTCTCTCAGCTGCTTCCGATTACGTCTTCCCGGTTGAGCCGACAATGAAGTTGCGGGTCAATCTTAACGGCGGGCCACAACCAACAGCTAGGCCGATGGTTGTATCGCTATCTCAGTGAATGGGATCCGTGGGGCTAACGGAAACGGTTTCAGGGAAAAAGAAGGCTTGAAGTGACCATGGCTTTTTCATTCTGGTTGTCAGTGGGCGACGGACTTCGTTGACATCGATTAAGATAGACGCAATATGGAACAAACTCGACGAATGAATTTTCCAAGTCGAGTTGATGGCAGGCACCGAGAAGAAGGACAAAAATTCCGTGGTAATCGCCATTGATTCACAAATCAATTTTGGCGAGCCCTGAACTTGTTTGCGTGTGTTGTATACAGAGGAGCGACAAATCCATGATATTACTACTACTGAAACAAAGCACTGGATCTAGCAACTGTGTGTTTTTGATAGAGACTGGCTTACTTACCCTGGCCACGGAATTCTGTCATCCGCCCCCCTATTGGTGGTACTGCCAGCCTTTGAGCTACCGAGCTACCTGTTTATAGTTACCCGCCCCGCTATTTGCACAGGAGCATGGCGAAGTCGACTGCGAGCGCTCGGCGGCCTTCCCGGTTTAATAGCCCTGCCAAACGCCAGCCTAGCCTTTTTACATTCCTGAGGGAGCCTCGTCCAACCTGAACGGGCTTCGGAGGTAGTAGCAGCAGATACAGTATTTAGAATGGCTCGGAGCCAGATTGGGATTCCTATATTCGGAAAGTGACAGCCTCATTGGCCCCCTTCTCGTTTCTGAAGGTAGTTTGCCGGTGATTTTAATCATGATAGAGGGTCCGTTAACCCACATTCAAACCGAGACTGAAAGATAGCTTTCACAGGGATCCGTAGTAGCCGGCACACTCCAAAACCGGGAGGCATCAGGATAAAGGATACCCCTCAAGCCCCGTACTGTGATGTACCAGATTCACCGAGGTTTAGCTGAAATAGATGCCATGCCGAGAGGCAGATTTCGCCGATTGCTGGGGAGCTAGAATTGGCCCCTCTGTTCTAGGTCAGTCTTTTACTCAGGGGATATTCAGCGAGCCTCATTTAAGGGGAAGTTAAGGAGTAGTAATCGCCCAGACTAAACCAGCCCCCGCTCACCCTTTAGGATTAAATCGTATACGACAGTTAGGATTTTCGTTCTCGAGGAATCTGGGTAGTACTCGGTGACTTCCCCCGTATCTCTCTAACAAACACCATCACCGCGCCAGCTACCACCAGCGTCGTCGCTATGATGGCTGAAGCAGCCCCCGAAACCAGCAGAGGACTAAATGTACCTACTGATGTGATCACCGAACAGATTTTTCATGGGCTCCAGCTGTTGCGAGATGCTATTCGGCAATTAGGAGATGGTCTTCGTCAAGACATCGCTGATTTTGGTCAAGATACTAAGACCCGGCTGTTGGTGCAGGGTGAATTACATACAAGTTTTCCTGATATGATTACTATACTCCTTCTACTCGGTTGTATAGCGATAACAATCATACAGCCCGACTCCTCAACACCGAGGTTTCAAGTCCATCGGTCCGTCTCTGGCCGGTCCAAAACATCCCGAACGGTGCCGCCATACTCGAATTCCCTGCCACAGGAGCAGAGCTTGAGCAAATGACCGGGGAACAACTGGACGCCGTCCTGCGCCGGTTGGGCTGCCGGCCGACAGCCACAGTGTCGATTTGGCGGAGAAGAAGAAGGCGTTGCGAATCCAGAGCGGGCTCAGGACGGTCGCTCCGGAATCGAAAGTAGTGGTTTTGCATTTGCGCGAAGGACACGGCGACTGCAGAAGTTGTAGCAACCATGCAGGCTGAATGACAGGGTACTACTGTTTCCAAAGGCAATGAGATACTTGTGGTCAATGAAGGGCACCTCTGGTCCAATCGCAACTATCACGTATGTATGCCGTCCCACTTGTTTCCTTTTCATGCGTCGTACACGGCTGCCTGCCAGCCACCACCCTCTTGTCCCCTGGGGTCGAGATACGACGGTTTCGTTGATCCAATGCCAGCTCCAGAGTTCGCGTATGATTGCCGCAGCGGGATTCCATAGAGCTCCTCTTGAGTTCTCCAACGTCTGACGCGATCTCTCGCCTGGCGGCCGTCGCGAGTCTTGTTGTTCCTCATCAGAAAATCCCACGTGGAGCGTCTTTCGGCGGTCTTGGGGGTGGCGTCGTTGCCGACATTCCTGCCCTCCAACAACACGGCCGCCGGACCCCCGGGTTGCCACCTACGTATCCGCTCGTGAAATTGTCTCCTTTCGATCTCACGTTCGCGCAGATCCATCTCTTTGCTCCGGCGAAGATAGCTCATCCACGCTATTACTAGACTCAACGTCAACACTACACTCACGCCCCAGTATATGGCGAACGGCAGTGGCACGATAATCTGCTTGTGGTCGGCCGGCAACGCAAAATTGAAAATCGGAGTGTCAAAGAATGAGGCGACAAAGGTACCGGGGAGGAACAGCAAGGACACGAACGCAATGGTCATCATTGCTTTGTTGGTATTCTTCCCTTGCCACGCGAGTTCGTTGTTGATGTCGGCAACCGCAAGACTCGCACGGGAATCGCGCTGCGTCGTTAATTGAAAGACTGAGGACATGGCATTGTGAAGCCGTTCGCCTAATGAGTCAGCGTCGAAGAGGTGGATGAAAGTATAGTCCCACATCACATTCATGAAATGGTCGAGTTCTTCGCACTCACGCCATGACGACTGAAAAGTAGGCGCGGTTGGGTCGAGGGTCTGTCGGTATTGATTATTACATCTCGAAATAAACTTAATTTGTTGTTGGAAGGTCTTGAGACGGAACCGGATGTTGGTCAGCTTGCCTGAAAGGACATTGAACCCTTCAACCGCTTGATCTTGGATTTCGCCAACCCCACTTCCAGGCTCCACACGATCAAGGACCCAGTTCCAGGTCTTGAACCCAATTTGTTGTTCAAGAGCCAGAGTTTCTCGATTCATATCATCAAGCATGTCGAAGGTGAAACTCAACGAGACCTTTGTCTTGATATAACCAAGGAGCATAGGATGAGACAAGTGAGTCTGGAGACGAAGAAGGTCCGTCAGAACCTCGTTCTTTCGCTGGTCGCCATCGCCTTCCCGATACCACATGACCGCTGCAGTATGATTGGTTGCGTAATTGTGAGACCAAGTCACCGTCCAACTCGTCCCACTACAGTAGTAGGAAGTAGACTTATTCTTGGAAGTATTATTGGATTGGGAATGTAATGAAAATGTCGGAACACATATAAAAGTAATATGAGCCTTTACATATGCCCCGAACGCAGCAAGGGGAAGGTCGAGGTGAGAAAGTATTTCAGTAACGAATTCAGCCTGTCTCTGATGTCCTGATATTTGAGATTGTGATGGTTGTCGAGTTGCTGCGGCGGGCGGTGGGGCTGAGATAAGGCCGGGCGGCCGTTTGGCAGTAGACTGATTATGGGTTTGGATTAGGAGAATTTTCATGGTGGCATTGTCCGAGTTTGATCTCGTCCCTGGCTGTCGGAGCCATTGTGAGATGTCGTGAGGTGTGGCTTTTGGATCGACGGGGAGAGTAGACATGTCATTTGGGGCACGGGGGAATTCGAGAGTATGTAAGGCGTGATGGCCATTGTATCGTTGGAAGTCATCTGGAGAAATGATAAGGCTGTCTAGACTGCCGGCTGGCATATGAATTTGTATATTCGACGGGCTTGATCGCTATTTCGGGTGTGGCAACTAGCTCCCTAGGAGTATCGAGTATCGAGGATTGCGAGAGAAGGAGAAGAAGTGTAGAGGAGGAATGAAGGAAATGGACGAGATTCATATAGTTGGTATATAGTTGCAGTGCGACCTGGGAATTGCGAGTTAGGGTCAAGAAGTGGAAGTTGGCCATTGGCGGCAAGGCAGCCTCATCGGCCACGTCCGAAACGACTCGTTCCGTGTTGACAAATTACATCTCGTGTCCAAGGCATGTACATGTCATATCAAGGTTGTTGGAGTCAAAATGCGAACCGCTGCCAAGCCGAAACTAATCGGTTGCCTGATTCAAAAGAAACAAAAAGTTCGAGAGCCTCATTTCGGGTTCGAACTCGCAATGATGGATCTTTGGAAAGAAGGGTTGCCTTCTAGCGTGGGGGTGGGATTATGTACCTCCATCTTCCGAAGAAGTAAGCTAGGTACAGGGTAGTTTGCGAGGTAGATGGTTTATCGACCGAGGCTCAAGGGAAATGGAATACGGGGTGAGTCAACGGAGAGCTTGTATTGCATGCTGCCTTGTTGTGCCAACGCCCAGCTTCAAGGCTGCCTGCCTAGTTGGTGAGTCGAGCTCGGTGTGACCCCCACGGTACTAACCACCTTTCGCCTCTACCTTCTGCTCTGGCTGACGATGGCTCGCCTTCAACCATCCTGCCAGGCGGGATGGCCCGACCTAGTAAAAGGCACATTCGTCCGCGCGTCGCTTCTTTCGGACTTTGTCTTTCGGCCATGCTTGTCTGGACCAGCTGAAGCGTCCTTGGCAGAAGGAACTGACAGGGACGGTGTCCTTCCATTTTCCCACAAATGAGGCCATGGGCGCCTCCCGCGCCTCACTCTCTTCAAGTCGCAGAAACGGGGCGTCGTATTGGCGACTTTCAAGCCATGCTGAAATTGATGTCATGCTTTTTCATGACAAAGTGCAGTCCGAAAGGGCCATAAGCGCGCTCATCCTCGTCCTTCCACAGATGTTCCAGGAATTTTGCAGCCTGGCGCACTTGCGAAATGTTGATCTTGGTTTCCGAATATAACCAGCGAAGATATTCTCTGCGTTGATCTTCGCAAATCAAGCAAGAGCCGACGATCATGATCGGCCACAGCAGTATAGTGATGAAGGGCGACATGGACACGGGCACAAACAAAGGAAATGCCGTGTCAATATGACGCTGAATGGCGACAATGACCTTGGGGTTGCTGACAACAGAGCCACACATGGAAGTCTTGATAAATATCAAGAGAGCCTGCTGATAAACCTCTCCAATCCAGACATGTTCTGCTTGCCATTCCATCATTTCGGGTGCCACCGGCGGCGACCGCCACTGGCTGATCGCGTCGACCAGGCGTTCGTAATCAGATTGGGTTTCGGCGCTGCACAAGCCGGATTCTTCTTCTGTCAGCCTCTTCATCGCTAGGAGAGAGACTTGAGAAATCATCTCGAAGAGGCCTTGTCCACAACTGAAGAATACTCCGAAAGTCTCATATTCTTTCAGGAAATCCAGGGAAGAGAAGAACGAGTCGAAAGGGAGAACACGAGCCTTGTCGCGGCCGTAGGGCGTAATGCTGTTCACCAAGACCAAGTACAAGTACACCTCCAATGCAAATCCTTTCACCAACTTCACATCATCTTGAAGCGTTGGCTGCGGCTCTCGCAGGAGCTTGAGGACAAGTTCACGGCTCGCCCGTAAATGCGGGAAGATACCACCATGCGGTTCACCAGACAGAGCCTGAAGATCAATGTCAGCATTCGCAATCCCTGTCCCGGCAAGCATGAAGGATCGAATGCGGCGTGGTTTACCTCAACATGGCATAGTACAACCAAGACCAGAAGCAGGCGTAGTGTCCTGCGAGTATCGTCATGAGAGGATTCGTCTGCGAACAAAGACCGAAGATTCCGCAATAGCAACGAATAATGCTGGCGCGTTGCCAATTGGATTTTTAGGTCATCGCGCTTTTTGTAACTGAGATGGGTTCCGCTCAAGGCGAGCACAGCATGCATAAGGAGATCGTCTGAATAGGCCAAGGGCAGGACGAGGGTGATGAATGGATTGCTAGAGAGGGGCTTCGCGACCAGGAACGTGGACGTGGCTTCCAAATAGTGTTGAAGTAATAGAATCGAGCAGGGATTGAGCAGAAGAGCCCGCTCAGTGCCGACGAAGGACGCCGTCAGTGGTTGCCAGCGGATGACTGATTCAGGCTTTTCATCCCCGTCACCGTCTTTAGGCTCAACATCCAGCACAGGAGCTGGGCAAGGAGAACCGTCGTCATGTCCCGCGGACTGGGGCGAATATCTGTCAAACACAAACGTGATTTCCCTTGGTAGACTGGTGATACTCTTGGTGCTTGTACCAGTACTCGTGCTCCTTGAGGCACACAGTCTCTCCTTGCGCCTGACTGGTCGAGCTCTGGAGCCTTTGTCTGGATCCAGCGGAACAGGCCATTGGCAGTCGATGAAATTACGTGCGCAGCCAGTGCAGGTTGGTCTGATTTCATCACATTTTTTCCGTCGGAGGCGGCAAGTCAGACATCCCGTCTTGGTGCGCGTGTAGACCGGTTTGTCAGGCCTTGGAGGCGAACGTATCTTGTCCATTTTGATCGATGGCTGAACCCAGTCGCCCTAGGATTGCTGGCACGAATCCAACCCTCTCCGCGACGGTCCTCGCGGCATGCCTGTCGTTCATGGGGAACGACCGCGGTGTGAGGTCGCGAGGAACCAAGGATAAAGGAAGGATGAAGAAAGAATTGGAGCGCGAATCGCGGTTGGTCTTTTTAAGTCTGGAAGCAAAGCTGACTGATGGCTGGGAACTCGAAGGATAGAAATTAGCCGCGGTGCACAACCAACCGAGGCTTCCTTTCTAACCAACTGGCATTCGCTCTCATCCCTGTTCGTTGATGTCTTCAAACTCATACCAACGGCCATAGCAATTTGGCATTTAGCATTTGGCATTTGGAGACATCTTTGAGCCCGCACAGCCAGTCTAACGAAATAAGACTCCAAGGTAAATAGTTCGAGGTACGTCCGTATCTCGTATTCCCGTGTCCTTCATGAATCTTCGCCGCTGCACCCCTTGCTAAAGCTCCATGACTTCCGTAATGCATTCGAGGCATATAAATACGGTGCAGCTCCTTCGAGAGCTGTAGCGCCTATCGACAACAGATCGCTTGCTACATCATCTCGATCCGCACATTTCCCATTCTACGCCTTCGCAATTCTCTTCATCTGGACATTTCCAAGCTCAAAATATGGCGCCCCGTGACGATAGACCCGAGGTCAAATTCTGCGACGCGCCCGGAATGCCTGACCCCGGCTTCTACTCGCACGCCGTCAGTCTCAACCAAACCAATCGCTTGGTCTTTACGTCCGGAATCATTGCTCAACGGCCCGATGGCAGCTTTCCGGAGTCGTTGGAAGAGCAGGCCAAGGCCGTGTACAACAATCTCCACCAAGCACTGGAGAAGTCCTGCGCGTCTCCGCGAGATGTGATCAAAGTCACCTTCTATGCTGTAGACTGGTCCCTGGAGCAAGGCGAAGTGTTAATCAAATTGTTTCTTGCCTTCATGACCGATGAGCATGGCACCACCCATCGTCCCATCACAACTCTCATTCCGGTCACGAAACTTGCAATACCAGGCGCCAAACTTGAGATCGAGGTGGTGGCAGCGATTGGGGGACACGCCTCGCGTTACGCAGGACCCTCCATTCGTTCCTTCGATCGACCAGTAGCGCCGACAAAGGTCGACGTGGTGGTTGTTGGGGGGGGCTTCAGTGGCATTCAAGCAGCGTGGGATGTTCAAAAGGCTGGGTTGAGCTGTGTGCTTTTGGAAGCCAAGCACCGCATTGGTGGTCGAAGCCGGTCGCAACAGCTTCAAAGCGGACCAGGGATCATCGAGCTCGGAGCGACTTGGATCAACAAAAAGACGCAGCCGAAAGTGTATGCCACAGCCAAACGGCTAGGCTTGGACATTGTGGATCAGTATACCGAGGGCGACGAAGTGTGGCAGTTTCAGGATGGCACAATCCTGCGAGCTAGACCTGGTTCTGTAAGTCATGGCCTAGTCGATGTTCAGCAGGTGTGTATGCTGATTGATTCATGACTCAGCCCGAGGCCGAACAGATCACCCAGTTCAACATGGCGTTGTGCGAGGTAATCGATGGCGAATGCCAGAACGTCAACATCCGCCGATTCGACGAGTTCCCTACAGCTCTTGATGTCTCTGTGGAGACGTGGTCCGAAAGCAAAGGGCTCAGCGATGATATGGGCAAGGCGGCCATGAAGTTCTTCACGAGCGCCGTCGTCGGTCGCGACCCAGCCGAGATTGGCATGCATTATTTCCTAGATTACATCAAGTCAGGCGGTGGGTTTATAAGCATCGCTACTGAGGGTGAAGACGGTGCGCAGTCACTCAAGATCAAGCAAGGTAACGACAAGGGATCACTTTGAGAAACTCCCCCGCTTACATGCTCTGCCAGGTACATCGGCTATTGCGACTGGTCTCGCAGATGAAATGAAGCCCGGATCCATCTTCATCAACTGTCCGGTCGACAATATCCACCAAACTGCCGAAGGTGCGCTGGTCCGTACTGCAACAGGGGACAAAATATTCTGCCGGAAAGTGATTATTGCCATCCCAACCAATACCTATGGGATAATTCACTTCTCGCCTCCCCTACCCCATGATAAGAGGGCGCTTGTCTCACGCACCAAGCCGGGCGTATATGCGAAGATGATCCTCACGTACAGTCGCCCGTGGTGGAAAGAGCTCGGCTTGGTGGGCAAGTTCTCAAGCTTCAGGGGCCCTATCTGCTTCTCTTGGGATATTTCAGACGACACGCGGAAACAGTACTCTCTGGCGATGTTCATTGCGGGTGAAATTGCAGCAAAATGGGCGACTTTGAACGAGCTTCAGCGCATCGAAGCCGTGATCGACCATCTTACCGAGCTGCTGGGTGCGGAGCACGCGCATCTGGCAAAGGACAACATCCTCGAGGTCAATTATGTCAACTGGCCGGAGGAAGAGTACCTGGGTGGCGCGCCCACGTCCGTGATGGGACCTGGAATGCTCTCCAGGTATGGTGCAGCGCTGCGACAGCCGTTCAAGCACATCCACTTCGCAGGCGGCGAGACGGCATTCGAGTGGAAAGGCTATCTTGAGGGGGCGCTGAGCGCGGGTTCCCGTGCAGCTGACGAGGTCATTGCATGGGCAAAGCAGGAGGATTTGATCAGAAAAGTTTCAGCAAACCTGTGAAGTGCGACTTCCATAGTCAATTGTCCACTTTAATCTTCCTGTGACCACGCGATCCAGGCCTTTACCCCGCATTACGCTAGTCCTATTTAAGGCATCGTTCCCAGCTTTAAGCGCGGTGTTTTGATAGTGTTGAAGTCAGCCCCGCCCCCACATTTCGGAGGACGTACTCCGTATATACGCGGAGTATTGCGGATCCTTGTTCTGGCTTGTTGTGGCAAACATCCATCTTTGACGAGTGTCTACCATGTCGGAGGGAGAGAAAATGGACGATATGCTGAAAACAACTAGGGACAGGCTCGTTGACAAACCTACATTAGACTTGCCATTACACCCGGGACTTTACCGCGCCCTGGAACCGGAATTAGACTCCTGGTCTATACACCAGCTTATGTTAAATGTAGTCTGTTAAGGGACCCGGCTATGATCACAGCCGAGCAGATTAGTGTAGGCAATGGCAGGAGAGGGTGTAGGATTCGTCGCTATCCTTGGAATTGCAACCTGGTTTCGAATAGAGAGGACACTCGGCTCAAAGCTGCCTGCGCATTAAACTCCTCACGGCAAGCCGATCCAACCGATCCAACCGATCAAAGAGACTTTGGCCTTTTAGACAGAGTATGTCTGAAATGCTCGTAATATCTCCCGCACCTCTGTTCGAAGTTGATCCGATACGTTCGTCCCAACGTCGATCGACATCTGAGGCCGATGGGATCCGTCACATAAAACTGGACTTGGGCTGATAAGGGTGTCTCGAGACGGCGATAGCGTGAGGGAATCGGCGCAACCAAATGGAAACCATTTCGGTACCGTTTGCGGGGTCACGCACTCCAAAGTAAGGGACCCATGATAGATATCGAACAATTCCTAACGAACCACCTCCCTGCGAGCGCACCGCGCAGCCATCACAGATGCCGGTCAAATCCGACGACGAAGTTGGTTATCGAAGCGCGGTTCAACGCTCAAAGCTCAATGCATACCGTTCGTAATAGCGATTAAACTCAATCAGTTCTGGGGCTTTTGTTCGGATCCTGTTCCTGTCACGAATCATTCTTATATCGTTACCACCCTCCGTCATATGTGGTCTGCCAATATCAGACGACACTGTCTTCTTGGGCCTGACTTCGGGCACGATTTTCTTCGCCTCAGATCATGGACAGCAAAACACCCAAGGCGGTGGCAAGTGGTGGGTATCCATAAACTTCCCTTGGAGCCTTTCCAAGCTAATTAGCAGCAACAGAGCAGCAACTGCACCGGTTCATCAGCGTGGGTGATGGAACTGTCCAAAGCCTCACTGTCGGAAGTCCGCCCGCGAAAACACAGTTCACAAAATGGAATATCGTCGCCTTCGCCTTTGTGATATGTAACAGCTGGGCTGGCGTTGCAGGCAGCATCCAGTTGGCCCTTTTACAAGGCGGGCCTGCCACTCTGATCTACAGCATCATCATCTCTTCAATTGCCTACATGAGCATTGCTATCTCGATGGCAGAATTGGCGAGCGTTTATCCGACCGCTGGGGGACAATATCATTTTGCCTCGATCCTCGCGCCGAAAAAAATGAAACAAACTATCTCGTACGCCTGTGGTCTGCTGTCCATCTTCTCATGGATCGCCATCGGTGCCGCCGTGACAATTATCCCTGCCCAGCAGATTATGGCCTTGGTGGCGGCTCTGAACCCTGGATTTGAGACCAAGGAGTGGCATGTCTTTCTCATCTACCAGGGCATGGCTCTTTTTGTCCTTGTTAACAACTTGTTCATGCTGAAAAAGGCGCCATGGACTCACAATATTGGATGTACGTGCTCACATCATGTTTAGTCGTCCCAACGCGGTTCGAAGCTAATCCTTCGCACAGTCGCTCTCACATTGGGCTTGTTTCTGGCCAGCTTCATAGCTCTACTGGTTCGTTCATCGCCAAAGGCTCCATCGAGTTTCGTCTGGGCCACCTTCATCAACTATACGGGCTGGTCAGATGGAGTATGCTTCATCATTGGTCTATCCACCTCGTGTTTCATGTACATCGGCCTGGATGCCTCGATGCACATTGCCGAGGAGTGCAAGGATCCAAGCCGAACGGTGCCCATGGCCATGGTAACTGCAGTGATCATCGGCTGCACGACGGCTTTCGCCTACACAGTTGCCCAACTCTATGCCTTGACAGATATCGAGGCTATCCTGACCACTACCGAGTAAGGAGAACTTCGCCCGGCACGATCCAACTTCCATGACCAAATGTAACAACTAACAATCCCCGACAAAAACAGATACGTCCCTTGGGTTGTGGTAAGACAAGGTCTTCGATCCACCGCCCTCGCCGTGGCATTCATCACCGTTGCCATTATCATGTCCGTGTTCATCCTCAACGCCATCCAAGAGACGTCGTCCCGTCTTGCCTGGTCCTTCGCCCGCGACAACGGCCTCGTCTTCTCTTCCAGGCTAGCCAGAATCCACCCGACGCTGCAGGTGCCGGTCTACGCTCTTTTTCTGACATATGGAATACTGGTCGTGTGTGGCTGCGTTTTCGTCGCCTCGACTACGGGTGCGTCCTTGGATTTCCGAGTTTGGATCTATTCTTCATTCTCTCGCTCCTCCTCGCTAACAGGGCAACAATCCAGCCTTTAACGCGTTGATCGGCTCCTCGATCGTGCTGCAAGAGATCTCCTTCCTCATCCCCGTCGCGCTCCTCATATACCGCCGCCGAGGGCCGAAATATCTGCCCCCGACTCGCTACTTCGCGCCGCCGTCTGCAGTCGGGTGGATCGCGAACGTCATCGTGGTTGCTTTCTCCCTCATCACGACTGTCTTCTTCAATTTTCCCGTCTTCCTGCCCACTTCGGCGACGACTATGAGTAAGTTGTTTAAACGCTCCCGTTCTCGAAATGCACTTCCAGCAATATGCGTGTCTCCGCTGGACCCCTTTCCCCGACCACCCTTTTTTTTTTTAAAAAAAAACTGTGTGTCGATGCTCAAAAGCGGAGGGCGCTGACATCTTCCAATTTTGAAAGATTACACCTGCGTCATCCTGGGAATTGCCCTGCTGCTGGGGGTTGTGAACTGGTTCGCCCACGCGCGGAAGCATTATGAGGGTCCGACGATCAAGTTTGAAGGAGAGGACATAGGCCACAGCCAGTGGGCTGAGATTGTCGCCATGTGATGGCTGTGGTGGTCGCGATTTACCCGTGCTCGCCTTCCAGAGGACATCTGAAGCCATCAAGAGCTCCGTTCGTGACGCTTCGAGGTCCTGACTGTTGACCTGCCAAAAGAGGGAGAGAGGGAGAGCGGGCACCGACCTGTGCATTAGCATAGCTTTCCTAGGGAACGTGGTGTCTGCAAAACATTCCCCTTCTCTGCTTCATCTTCCTTGCTCATAACACGAGGACTTATGTGGCTGCATATAGGGAATCAGTCAATAGCAATTACTACTCGGACCGAGAACTGTAATAGCAGACAGAACTTGGCCGGCCTGTGACACCCGGACCCTTTTTCATCCAACATCTCGGAGCAAACCAGCTAGCTGTTTCAGAACGCCAACGGCTTTCCAGGCATCACTCACCTTGGTCTTATACTTGTCTGGGCTATGCATCAGCGTGATCCGGGCAAAGTCAGAGAACGTGGCGCCCTGGCGGAGATTCGCCTCGTCAGTCATGGCTTCGTACTAGATCCGCCCAAGCACCTTCCACGACCTACGGCCTACCGCAATAACAGCAAGACAAAAAAGCATGGTTCGGGATGCCCCAGTTGTGTGCACGCCGCCGTAGTTGTCTTCCTTGGCTGGTCATCTATAATCATCCAATTGTCTTGGCTGGCTACGAAATCCCAGTGGCACGGGACGGATCCGTCTGCCGGAGCTTCCAGTGCTTTAGAATCGTCCCGAAGCAGTCCGCCAGCGACTCGTCCAGCGACCCGGATTTGTATTGGTATTTGAGTTTCGTAATCGTGTGCACGACTGGCAGTCCTGAGCATGATTTCGTCCAGAAATAGCATCGCCGGTGAGGTGGCTTGCTGACTGCTGGGGGCTGCCTCGTGTCCGACAATGTCTAGCAACAGGGCCCAGTTACGCTTACTCCGCCCTGGCGTGCCGAAAGCCATGACGCCTCTTTTTCCATTGGAGTATACGCCCCTGGGGCGTTGGTCTTCTTTGCCGTCGGTGTTCATGACCACAATCCTCGATGCCAAGTGGACTTTCCCGATAGGGAGCTCCTCTGGTTCTTTCTTCAGAAACTCTAGGCGAGATGAGTCTTGGTCCTGGGACGCGGTGCCTGTCGTCGGTGGAGCGAAAGGAGTGTAGGCTCCGGAAGGCGCATCGGGCGGGCATCGTGACTGTGTGCAGTGACAGTTCGATTCAGAATAGAAGATCATCGAGACACAAGGCTGAAAGCATGAGAGAAGGAAGTGGGGCTCACGCAAGGACGCGGGGTTTTATTTTCAACTGCCTAGTCCGGAAATCTTGATTTGGTGCCGCTTTAACAAGTGGATAAATGAGTGCAAGAAATGTGGTAGCTTTGCCGAGATTGCCGCTAGAACTATCCTTGTCGATAGCGAGGCTGTGTCTCACCCAGCCTCAAAATGTTTCATAGTGGTGCATGCCAAGCAACAGAGGAATGTGGATATGGTAAAGCGATGCCGTACACGCGAGGGCAGCGCAAGAAGACAGCATGTTGAGCCTGGCCTGTACACGCTTCTCTCGCACTTGAAAGTGACATGGATCATCTTCCTCTACCTTCTAATCCCGTGATTGGATCGCTCCCTGTTCCTTTTCTCTGCAAGGAGCCGTATGACGGTGATTCGTTCCTTACATATCCTTTTCGAAAAGGCTGGAATGTTACAGCGGAGCGCTGGCCCGAAACTCTATCTCGTCATGGCAAAGAGGTTCGTGATGAAGCGCAGATCGCTTCATTCCTCCAAAAGTGGCTCTACTTCGGTTTGCTGTGCGAGGTCACTGGTAATACCATCGACCCTATGGCTTTCAGAGTACCTGGACGTACCAGGAACACCTCTCGGTTCTCATCAAAGTCTCTAACGGACATTGTGGGCCAGTGGTCTCTGGAATCAATGACTCTCGAATGTGAACTCGATGAAAGCCTTCAAAACAAACTTGGTGATGACATCGACTTGTGCGACCAATTCGACGACTGGGTTTCAAAAAGAGATGATATTATTGATGCTGCTGAAGCCACATGGAATCGCGTCATTGATGCATACCAAGACAAGATGACGGACACGCTCAGTCTCGTGCTCTTGAGCATTGCTGCCTTGGGAGATTACCTTAGTCAGGCCCTCGCCGATATAGCTCGTGCGAGGGGTATCGGCGACGGTACTCCGTCCACATTGTGGCTACTGCCCCAAAGTGTTTGCCAGCCTCTGCTGCGCAGGTTGCAAAACTGGTGTCCCAACAGATTACATGGCTTTGTCAACGTCCAAGGCTTCTCAATCGGAGTCTTGTGGTACATCGCAAACCTCGACCCACCGAAAGTACGCGATGATCATGGTACATGCAGCCCCCAGAGATGTAATTCATTGCATATTGATGTTGATGACTACGATATCCAGCATATTAAAGCCGACTGCGAGTGCGAACTCATTAGCCCGTCAACAAAGGAAATGGTGAGGATAGTGCACCGAAACTCAATTGCCTTGTTCACAGTACAACATGCTGCGGGAGAGGCCATGTTGTCCATACAGGATGAGAAACGAACTAGGAACTACGTTGCAATATCTCATGTTTGGGCAGATGGGCATGGCAATCTCCAGGCTAACTCTCTGCCAACATGCGTGCTCGAAAAACTGCAACACAACGTTGATGCGCTGGGGATTTCAAACTCTCGAGTAGTCCACACACCAATCTGGATGGACACGATCTGCCTACCTCGCTTTCCGCTGGACCTACGCAGGAAGGCTCTATTGCACCTAAGTGACATATTCGTTAAAGCTGGTGGTGTCCTGGTGCTGGACTCCTATCTACAGGCTTCAGATTCGTTGAGCATCTCTCCAATTGAAATACTTGCCCGAATTTCAATCTCGGGCTGGACTACCAGGTTGTGGACTTTCTCTGAAGGCCGCCTAGCGAGACGAGTGTGGTTCCAGTTCCGTGGCCGGGCTGTTGATCTCTATGACCTCATGAATAACTGGCATGAGGAGCTCAAGTTGCGTATCCCCGCAAGTCCCTTGACCAATGTTTCTTACGGCATGGCGGTTCTGCACTCGGCAACAAATCTTCTCGAAAGTGGCCAAGATCGAGAGCGGCCGTTAGAACTTGGCCAAATTAAGATTGCCATGAACTCGAGGCAGACCAGCTGGCCAAGTGACGAGGCCTTGTGTTTAGGAGCTATTCTTCAATTAGACCTTTCCACCATTATTGATGCTGAAGACAGCAAAAAGATGGCAGCTTTCTGGAGACAAGTTGACTCCGTGCCGATTGGCATAATCTTCACCAGGTGCTCGCCGAAGCTCGAAGATGCCGGCTGTCGATGGGCACCGGCTACATTATTGGGTGGCACAAATTCTGGCTTTGCAAAGTTGGCTTTCCAAAATTCCATTGAGATTGCTATGTATTATGTCCCGCGCACAGACACCGGACTAGAGTACACCGTGGATGCGGCTCTTCCTGTCACTGCACTTTTGCCCGTTTCAAGGAACAAGGACGAAAGAACATTGGGCTCAAAGCACAATTTTATCAATCTGTGTCGCCAACCAACTGCATCGGCTGCTGGCAAAGCCATAATGCTCAAAGACAATGATGGAAGCTGGTACAGCTGCCTTATTCAAGACCTCTGGCATCAGACGCCCGTAGTACCCGACTGCAGGCATGAGATGCCCGTGTTCTTCGTGCAAGATCATACCGACCTTACCAATATGAGGCAGCAGAACGACGTGGAGGTGTGGAACCGATACCCAGCAGTATTTGCGACCTACAGGCCGTCGAAAAAGCCTTTCCATGCGAGAGCCCACACCCATGTATCGCTCACTAGGCTTCCCGAGGTAAATGGGCAGGCCTTGGACACCATTTGTGGGTATTCTCTTGCATTCAAGAAGAAGTGCAGACGAGGATCGCTTATTCTTCCAGACAATGAAGACAAGATGCTGAATATTGTAGCGGCATGGATGCAAGCTACTCACGCGGAAGCAGAACTGAATAGCCTCGCGACTAGCATCTTGCCTTATGAGCCGTTGGATTCGGTAGTCGAGTCCGCAGTGGCACTGTGCGCAAGATACATTTGCTACTTCTCCTTGGTCGGCGAGTGGTACAAAGTCACGGCTTCAGACCCTTTTGCTGCGCTGAGGTGGTGCATCGATTGACGGTTCACTGCTGACATGTCCCATCCTCAACCCTGACTTACTCGAAGCTTGTCGATACTGGCCTCCCTGCTCCTAGACACCTTGGCTTTGTCTACCCCCTATCGAGCCAAGTATGCTGGCTAGTGGGCTCAGGATGCGCGTTGCCTAAGAGACTAGCTGGATAAGACGAAACAGAAGCGGTCGAACCGGCCGAAGACACTCACCTTGGACTTTGGGAAAATGACACCCGGGAGGGTGTGACTGTGGGCTTCAAGTCAACTTTGTGTGGACGGGAGGGAGCGCCTTTTGAAAACATTCATGCAGTGTCATTCGAAATTCACAACCAACATGACCTTCTCATATCTCTTCTTTCTGTCTTCAAAAAAGCCTCCCCCATTCGAACGCACTCGTCATATGCTTGGAGTCCTACATTATCTCCTTCTACGCCACAATATCCCAGTACTCGTCAAAATCCAACGTCTGGATCTTCGCCATATTCTCCCCGCGCTCCTCGTCCACAGTATGTCCGTTGCCTAGGTACGCGAAGCGGTTCCTGCCCACGCCGCCGGCGTCGACGTCGTACTCGTACCCGTAGTCCTCCCACCGGGGCTCGCGGAGTGCCTCCATGAAATGGTAGCTCGTGCCCGCGTAGATGGCGACCACCTTCCCGTCCTTGGTCCCGCGCTTGTACCAGTTCGCGCAGGGGGCCGTCCAGACGCTGCGCTCGAGCCACTTGTGGCAGTGGATGTTGTAGTCGCGCACCACCTCGGACTTGACGGTTAGAGATTTGATGGACTGAGTCTGCAATTTGAAGATGGCTCTGTAGATGTACACGGCCGTCATCTGGAGACCGCCGACAAGCGTGCCGTTGGAGATGGGACTATTGGGGCCGAGGAAGGCTTTGATGGTGCTGTTAGCTAAAGCTCTCTTTTCCTCTCGCTATTATCATCCATATAAAATTTAAAAAAAAAGGGGAAGGAAAGTTTCCTTACCTCAATCCCAAAATATGCCTCTGGGTCTTCCTTGTCCCATTCCCGCCACAAATCTAACCCATTCTGGCCGACGATCGGAATTCGAGGCTTGAAGGTCGTATCAAACCCCGTGGCGCAAATAATGGATTCCAACTTCGTCTCCTCCCCATCCTTACATACAATCCCTTCCTTGGTGACCCTCACGATCCGATCCTGTATCACCTCGACATTGGGCCTCACCAAGCTCTCCAAGAAGCCGAAGCCGGGCGTCTGTCTCCTGCACCCGATCGGGAAATCAGGGATAAGCATCTCCGCAATTCTGCGCCCCTTTTCGGTGTCTCCCAGGCGCTCTTTCATGGTGGCGCGGAAAACTACTTGCGCTCTAGACTGAAGATCACTGGTCTTGATTGCGCGGTCGAAGATCTTGGCGCGTCGGTCGGCCAGGTTGCGCCGATGTTGCTTGAGATACTCCGGGTCGCTATTGAGGCGGGAGATTTCGTCAGGGGTGTAATTGTAGTGTGGATCCATCTTTGGGTCGTCTTCTGAGGGTTCGTTGATACCTGGGCCAGGGGATATCCAGGTTTTAGAGCGGATGAAGACGGCCAACTTGTCCACATCTATTTATGTTTGTCATTAGCGACGTACACATGGCAACGAATGTTGTGCTTGCATATTAGAAGGAAGGGAATGGGATACCTTTCACGATTTTGGGGACGATCTGTATACCCGACGATCCGATCCCAATGACAGCAACGCGTTTGCCCGTGAGATCGTAAGACTCATCCCAACTGGCTGAATGCATCAATTTTCCTTCGAACTCTCCGATACCAGGGATATTTGGCCACTTCCAGTTGCCGTGTGACCTTGTCAGCTATAATTTGGACCACAGTAACAATGTCATCTTGCTCTTCCTCAGTGGTTCTAGAGCATAAAAGACCTACTTGAGCAAGCCCCCAGCATTGATAAACACCTCGCAGTGATCATCGAATTCCTCTCCGCTGGGTCTCCTAACCCTGAGATCCCATCGCCCTTGCTCTGAGTCCCAGGTTGCCATTAGGATCTGGTGGGAAGTGTGGATGTATTTATCCACGTCGTACTTCTCCATCACATGCTTCATGTAATCATGAATCTGCCGCGAGGTGGCGTAGTAATTGGGCCAGTTGGGGTTGGGCTCAAAAGAGTAGGAGTAGTTATGTGCAGGAATGTCGCATTGGCAGCCTGGATACCAATATGCAGCACGTTAGCTATCCGCATCTGATTCCGGACCTGAATTCCACGAGAGCGAAAAGGCACAGCACGGTTATGTTTCGCAATGAAGGAAGAACATACCTATTCTCCAACCAGGTCCCACCCATGTCAGCATTCTTCTCATAAATGCAAAAGCCCACGTTCATCTCGGTCATGCGCTGCGCATATACAATACCCATCATTATTCCCGAGTAGCCTGCCCCGAGGCACACGACGCGGATAGGCTTTCTCGTGCCCATGGACACCTCTTTCACAATATACAGGGACTCCGTCCGATTGGTGAGCGGTGGAACGTGTTCGACAAGTCCATTGTGGCCGTTCTCATCCTGACCGAGAAAGCCATTAGATACCTGTACATCGCTGGTGGCGACCGTAGCCTGCTTCAGGTCAAGAAATCCACTGTCAAAAGGCGAATCAGGTTCTATATCTAGCAGGGGGGCCATATCGTGTGTTAACGGTGCTACTGTTCGCCTTCCCTTAGACCTCGCAAACCTGATAATGTTCAGCAGCAAGCAGAAAAAAGTGATTTGAGGTAAGGTTGTCTGAGGTTTAAATCTCCTGGACGCCTCGTCTTGATAACAGGTATAATTGTAAGTATGAAGTCCCGCAGATACTCCCGTATTCAGTCTTCATTGTCTCCACAAGGCATCCCTGTCTAACCTCATTTTCCCCATCACTCTGAGAGGCATGCTTTGCCCTCTCAACCTTGACATTTCTTTCACTTTATTCGCAATTTGAATATCCGCTAGCAGTTGTGCCCCGAGGTATGCCCAGGAAATGCGTTGAGGATGGAGTATAGGAAAAAGGGGGGCATTGATCGCGAGGAATGGAGCCGGAGACGAATTTCTCCGTGCCGACGAGGCATTATATGTTCCCGCTATAGGACTGGCATTTAGGCACGGAAGTCTGAATTGCTAATAGCCGGGGACGTGCAGTCGCAGGACAGACCTCCGAGAAAGTCTCGCACGGTTCTCGGTCACTTGCCGCCGGCTATCGTTCTGTTGCCGGTTTGTCTGTGATTTACCCGCGGAGATAATCAAGCAAGACTTGGACTTGATGTTGATCCTAGTATCCTTTTGGCGCCTGACTCTTGGAGATAGATATGAATTGATGAAGGAGATCTCCGTCGACTCTAGAAGCCATGAAAGCTCCAAATGTCCGGCCGGACAATACAAACTCACCAACGACTAGCTTCACACATACCTGGAATCACTTGTAGTGCCAACATTGCGATATGTAAATGTGTCCATAATCTGTTCTTTCAAGGTCAACATGTTTAGGGTCCACGGCTGTGCCAGCAAAGTTCCGGTGCAGGGATAGGTTGAGAATTGTTGTCTTGCTGAATGCATGAAATGGGTTCCGATATCCTAGAACCAATCCATTTGTACCCCTAATCTGGTTGATTGAGCCGAGACGAGAGGAAATCTGGACTGCGAAGGCAATATTTGACATGACCATATCCCATCGGAAGGAGCCCAACACCTGAGTTCAGGATATCACCGCAGACTCAGAGGAGATGCTGAAACATGTGACCCCGATACACCAGCTCGAGTTATGACGGTCGCGACGATTGTCTTGTACCAATCATCCAGTTGCCATGAATTGTGCACACATGAGCCGGCCATATTCTTGCTCTCACACTGTCCAGCGTCGCACGCGCTTATGCCACTTTTTCCACCATTTGATAAACGGCTTTCTCGTTCGGCGAGGACCCTTCCTCCAGCGGTGTGCTTGTCTCATCCGACTTTCCAGCCTCAGCTATATGAATCGCATCTTCTCTTCGCACCACATCAGAGGGGAGTTTCTTGGCACGGCGGACGACATCGAACGGGCTGTTGGCGCCCTTGAAAATGGCATCGATAGCTTCAAGCGAGTGTCGGCGAGTTTCAGGGAAGAAGAAGTATACCACTGTTCACACGAATCAGGTCAGTCGTGAAGGTGATTCGCCTTCTTGAACTGGACTTTGGAAGAGGAATGGAGTGCTGACCAGGGAGAATTAGACACAAATTGGTCGCGGCAAAGATAACGAAGAACCGGTTGTTGAGGTTCGTAAACCCAATTGGCGTAATCTCCACTACCAGAAAGTTGATTGACCACAGCGTCGTCGAGGTCAGGCTGTAAATTGGCACCCGGTATGCCAAGGGAGCGACTTCTGTGCCGTAGAGGTAATTCACCCCCAACGCGCCCACGGTGAAGAAGAAGCCGTACAAAAAGACGCATAAAGCTGACACGATGGAGCATGCGCGCGAGTCCGCGGCGTGTCCAACCGTACCAGTGAGAATAATGAACACGGCACCCATGCCAGCGGCACCGAGAAGCATGAGTGGGCGGCGGCCGAAGCTGTCGACTGTGTAGATGGTCAAGAAAGAGCAGGCGATTTGCCAGGTGTACACTGAACCGGATAGAATACGAGAAACAAGTGGTGAGAGGCCGACATATTGTTCAAAAATGGTGGTCGTATAGAATCCGATCACGCCTGCGCCGTTCATCTGCTGCGAAAAGGTGCTGAAGCATGCTAAGAAGGTCCGATTTAGCAGCCGGTCCCCACTGTTGCGAAAAAGACCTAGAAGGCTCCCTTTATCCATTTCCGCGAGGGATTTCTGCATCTCGCGGATGGGGGTCTGGATTTCAGTCGAGTCTTCCGGCAGGTCTTCGAGGATGGCGAGGATGGCTGTCGCTTCGACGATGCGTCCCTTTTTGACCAGCCATCGCGGTGAATCCGGTAGAAACATACAGGCTGTCAGAATCCAAACGGCGAGCACAATAGGAAACGCCCAGGGAAATCGCCAGCTCACGCTTCCCGGTGCGAAAAAGAATCCCAATTCGACCCACTGACTGAGCGCCAGTCCGCAACTCGCAAACATACCTTCAAGCACAACCAGCGCTCCGCGGTGCTCGGCGGGCGAGCACTCTGACTGCCAAACGGGGACAGTAGCGCTGATGGCGCCGAAGCCGAAGCCGAGGACGACGCGACTGACAATGAGTTGGCCCAGAGAGAAAGAAGTACACATGATGATGGCGCCAATGATCTCGATGACGGAGCCCAGCATGATGGTGCGCAGGCGGCCGAGTCTATCGCCGACCTTCAGACATAGAAGGGAGCCGAACATACACCCAACGGTGTACAATGCCACAACAGTGCCTAATAACATTGTCGCCCATCAGCCTTCATCACGTCTGGCGGCAAGACGAGAGCTGGCGGTGGACGTGGGACAGACAGAAAACAGTAATAATGAAAAATCCGACCGCAGGACTGAGGCGTAGAGACATACCTTGAATCCTTGCGTTATCTGCCTGCTGCTGGCCCGTCGTATTGACAGTGTCAATCCGCGGAAACGTCTCGACAAAGGATGGAAGTGTTAAGAGACCACCGGCAGCTGCATTGTTGTACCCGATTAAGATGTAGGCCGGGCAGACGACCATTACGATCAGGGCAGTTGTCAGGCGCTTGCCTCGCAGGCCAAGATAGGGTCCCTTGTTCGCCATGCTGTCGGTGTATGCTGCATTAAAGCCAAGATCGTTTTTGAGTTAGTGGTATGAGTAAAGGAGCAAGCCTGGAGTGAGTGTGAGAAGACCAAGAATCCTCTACGAATGCAGAGGGACCTGGAGACCGTGGGAAACTCCGTAGTCCCGGACGTGAGCTTTCAGGCATCGATTATGAGATCAAGACAGCAAGCGCTCTTGTTATATGTTCTGCAAGGTGCCAGGGCCGTTTTGCATTCCCCCACAATTTAGCTCCTCCGGGTTTACGTGTGGAGAAGCTGGAGACGGTGAAGGGGTATAGAGGTGCTGCATTTGCTCAATTGCTCGCTTAGACGGAGGTTACAGTTCCGAAATGAGCTCAACGAAGGGGTCTTGGGGCAAGCAGCGTGACCCTGACTTGCTGTTTGGGAGCAGATCGACGTTCCGGTCTGACAGCCGATGCCGACGGAATCTTGCGGACCCTTGACCGAAAATACGGAATCCAGGACGACGCAGAATATGAGTGGATATACCGAGCAGCATTATGCTCTGTGGTAGCTGGATGTCGAAAAGATTGGGGCCGGGAGTCGACTGCGATTCCCAATCCGAATTATATAGGGCTCTTGGCAAGGCTGGAGGGATTTGACGGATTAACAGATCTTCCTTAGTCCGTATCATGTTCGTCCCACTTGCGGCTTGAATCGATGTCCTTCACCTGCAATCTGGCCTCGGGAATAGTTTCCTGGTGAAAATGACAGAGATCCTCGTCCTTTACCCAACCAAGGGGGCATGGCTATATCTCACCACCGTCTGATCAAGCCACAATCGGAACAAATCCAACTAGCAAATCTCAGGTGAACCCCATCCCTCGGCGCTGTCACTACCCAGTACCTTGACTCGCAGCCAGTTGAGACACTCCAAACAAATCATCATCATCGTACAACCCAAACCCATCAAGCCCCGCGTCCCAACTCCAATCCATGTTCCAGTCTCCATTGCGCTCTGCCCCATTGACCCCTGCACCATTAGGCCCCTGGACCGTTCGGAGGGAGTCCATTGGCTGTGATAGTGGTGGAGGATTGTCTAGTGGTTGTCTGATTTCCTCACCTGTTTTGCAGGGATTTGGATACGCTAATGGGCCGGTGTATGAGTGAGACGGAATAGGGTAGGTAGGATTGTCGCTGAGTGCCGGATGGGAGGTGAAGAGGATGCTTGTCGAGCGCGGCTTGTTGCTCCCGCCTGCGTTTGATTGCCCATTCACGCTATCCCCATGCAGATTTCCACCGCCTATTTCAATGCTCATTTGTTGGACCCGCTCTGGGGTCTGGTCTTGTTCAAGCCCCAAATATCGTACCAAACTCCTCATAATCCTCAAGGGCTTCCTCAGGCCCAAATTTGCTGGAGTCGTTTCTTTTAACGCTTCATAGCAGTCCCTAATCTCCTCCATATTCCTAGTTGGATTCCCATCCCTTTGGGCATCCTGCATGAACACCATGACTGCGTTAAGTATGCAATAAGACAGGCGGATGGGAGCTCGACCTAGGGTGAAGGCGCGACGGTAGGAAGTGACGAGCGAGCGAATGGAGAGGGCTGCTGAGTAGCAGTCGAGCCGCGCGGCAGTGAAGAAGTCCGCTGGGGATTGAGGCGTCGGCGGCGGCGGCGCTCTTGTTGAATTAGGTACAGAAAAGATGGATGGACCGCCGGAGGAAGAGGCGACAGTGATTGTAGTAGGGTACAAATGGCCCCCAGGGAAGAACGGCCTCAGTAGTAGAATCCTCAGCGCATAATAGGTAGTGTGCATAGTGAGTTGGTGCGGTGGAGCGGGATGATCTTCTTCCACCGCGAGATGCGGCGGCAGCTTCCTTTCCCATCTCTCCAATGCCTCCCCAATACGCTTCAACGCTCTCACCCTCTCCTCTTCAGACATTTTAAGAGAGGAGACCGCATATATCGAACTTATGAGCATCTCCGCTATCTCCGC